ATGGTAATTACAAAGCGCTATTTTGTTTTGCTTTTGGTATCATGGTAATTACAAAGCGCTATTTTGTTTTGCTTTTGGTTATCATGGTAATTACAAAGCGCTATTTTGTTTTGCTTTTGGTTATCATGGTAATTACAAAGCGCTATTTTGTTTTGCTTTTAGGTATCATGGTAATTACAAAGCGCTATTTTGTTTTGCTTTTGGTTATCATGGTAATTACAAAGCGCTATTTTGTTTTGCTTTTGGTTATCATGGTAATTACAAAGCGCTATTTTGTTTTGCTTTTGGTTATCATGGTAATTACAAAGCGCTATTTTGTTTTGCTTTTGGTTATCATGGTAATTACAAAGCGCTATTTTGTTTTGCTTTTGGTTATCAAGGTAATTACAAAGCGCTATTTTGTTTTGCTTATTTGGTAACTTTTAATAGTCATTTTGTTTTGCTTTTGGTTATCATGGTAATTACTAAGCGCTTTTTTGTTTTGCTTTTGATTATCATGTTAATAACTTAGCGCTATTTTGTTTTGCTTTTGGTTATTTGGTAATTATTAAACGTCATTTTGTTTTGCTTTTGGTTATCATGGTAATTACTAAGCGCTATTTTGTTTTGCTTTTGATTATCATGTTAATAACTAAGCACTATTTTGCTTTGTTTTTTGTTATCAAGGTAATGGCTAAGCGCTATTTTGTTTTGCTTTTGGTTGTTTGGTAATTATTAAACGTCATTTTGTTTTGCTTTTGGTTATCATGGTAATTACTAAGCGCTATTTTGTTTTCCTTTTGGTTATCATGGTAATGTGAGTACAAATGATTTCGTAGAACATTTTAAGAATATTTCTAATACAATGCAAAATGACTTTTCATTTGACGATGTACATGAAGTGAAGTATGAGGAGGTAAACATTGATGAGCTTGATCGTCCTTTTGATATTGAAGAGGTTACAAAAACAATTGCATCTATGAATAGGGGCAAAAGTTGCGATTATGACAGGAATGTAGCTGATTTTTTCATCGATTCTAATAGTTTTATCTCCCCATACCTTGTTTCTATTTTTAATAAAATTTATGATTCTGGTTTATACCCAGAAGCTTGGTGTAAGGGTATAATTGTACCAATTCACAAAAAAGGCGATGTAACAAATCCTTCTAATTACCGAGGTATTACCCTTGTGAATGTTATAGGTAAAATATTTTCTTTATTGCTTAGAAATAGATTGAATAAATGGTGTGAGCAAAATCATGTATTAAATGAAACACAATTTGGTTTTAGAGATAATCATTCTACCGCTGACTGTATATTTTTAATTCATTCCATCATTCAAAAAGTGTTGTCTAATAAATCGAAATTGTATTGTGCATTCATTGACTATGAAAAAGCGTTCGACACAGTTGTTAGAGATGCCTTATGGGTAAAGCTTTTAAAACAAGGTGTCAGCTGTAAAATGGCATATGTATATGCTTCTTTTTGCTGATGATATTGCTTTATTCACAACTAACCCTGAATCTTTGCAAGCTCAGTAAGATGTTGTTAATAACTATTCTATTAAATGGGGCCTTAAAATAAATGTTAATAAAACAAAGATATGTATTTTTGAGAAAAGAAGACAAGTAAATAATTTTGTGTGGAAAATTAATGATGAAGAAATTGAGGTAGTAGATAATTTTACTTATCTTGGTGTAAATTTTACTTATACAGGAAACATGAAAAAGTCTGTTAAAGCATTGTCAGATCAAGCTCTTAAAGCCTATAATTCACTTTTGTCTCTTTTTGATAAAGTAAATTTTGATATAAAAATGAAGCTTGCACTTTTTGATTCTTTGGTTGTACCAATTATTCTCTATAGCTCTGAAGTATGGGGTATTTATGAATTTCCTGAAGTATATAAAATACATATAAAATTTTGTAAACTTGTTTTGGGTGTTAAACAACAAACTCCTAATTTAGCTGTTCTTGGTGAACTGGGTAGGTACCCACTTTCTGTTATTTGTAAAGAAAGAGCTATTAAATATTGGTTAAAAATAATGAAAAATCAAGATTCACCTATATATATAGATCATATTTAGATCTTAGCAATGGAAATAATGTGAATTGTTGGGCGTATAAGATTAACAACTGATTGACAATTTAGGCTACAGTAATCTTCTAGTGAATTTTAGGCAAGATGTAAATTATTTTCCTGCTATGAAACAACGTATTAGAGATCAGTTTATACAATCTTGGAATGAGACAACATTGAATATATCTAAATTAGATTACTATAGAAAGTATAAAATATGTTTTGGTTATGAAAGATATCTGAGCATTATAAGAAATGATAAATTACGAAAATGTTTAACATGTTTCAGAATGTGTTCTCACAACCTAGAAATTGAATTCGGAAGATTTAGTGGTTCACAAAGAGACGAGCGAATCTGTAAAATGTGTAATACAAAAATGATTGAATCAGAGTATCACTTTTTATTAACTTGTCCTGCATATGTTGATTTGAGAGCTAAATATTTGGGTAATTGTTCATGGCCCAATGTACATAAATTTGTTAATATTATGTCTTGTAGTAGTAAATGTAAGCTGTATAAAACTGCAAAATACATATATGAGGCTTTCCAGTTAAGGAAGATATGTCTAGAAACGGAAGCTGCTTCTTAAACTTTGAAAATGTACACGTTTGTTTGTATGTTTATATGCTTATCTTGTAAACTATGTATGTTATATGTCTTGGCCATATTCGTCATTTGTATTTGTTAAATTGGCCAAAGGTATGTTAAATATGCCGATTTGCCAAATAAAAACTGAAACTGAAACTGGTAATAACTAAGCGCGATTTTGTTTTGCTTTTGGTTATCATGGTAATTACTAAGCGTTATTTTGCTTTTCTTTTGGTTATCATGGTAATTACTAAGCGTTATTTCGCTTTGCTTTTGGTTATAATGGTAATTACTAAGCTATTTTGCTTTGCTTTTGGTTATTATGATAATTACTAAGCTATTTTGCTTTGCTTTTGGTTATTATGATAACTACTAAGCTATTTTGCTTTGCTTTTGGTTATTATGATAATTACTAAGCTATTTTGCTTTGCTTTTGGTTATCCTTGTTCTTAATTAGTGTTATACTGCATTGTCATCAATGGTTATTATCGTTGTACCTTTGTGCTACTGCATTGATTATGGTTATAATGATTGTTTTTCTACGCCTGCAAATGCTTATTATGCAATTAAATGTGTATACTAAACACCACTAAATTCGCGTCATCACTTATTTCACGGAAATGGCATTTTTCCATGTGACTAGTGTTAAATTGGTCAAAATTGGCATATTTTAGTCATACACCTAAACGACAAAGTTTTTCAGCAAAATGTTTAAAATTTGTACTTTTTTACGCTAAAAAGAAAACATTTTACTCATATCTGCAAAAAGCCACGTACAATAGTCCATTAAAATGTGTGCATACGTCTGAAACAATCATTATTTTCTAAATTTTCTTGTTTGTTGAAAAAATATTTTTAGTTACAAAGTAAAGATAGTTTTAATATTTAAAACTGAGAAATATAACATTTAGTAATTTTAATTGAAACAGTGTATCATCGTTTATCACGATTTATGATTCAAAATGGCCGGCCTATAATATACGTCTTGATCATTCATTGTTTGTTAGTTCCTTCTTGTTTAAAGCGTTAAGTACCGTGTACTAAGAGAAGCACAATATAATATGTTTTGTCAGTGTATATCTATTTTGGGTTTCATGTCATCATTCTTATTCATAAGCTTAATAATAACATTACAACACAATACAATTTACATTTATTGACATAAATCTTATTTTCGAATAAAATAATAACTTAGAGCTTAAAGCTATCATGGGAAACATTTTAAGAATTTCAGAAACAAAATCAAACATATCATTTTGTTATGACAATAAGATACAAGTACATGTCGTCATAAATATATTTATGCAATATATATTTCAAGCAATTATACATACTGTAATCTTGTTCATTTGTCTTTAAGTAGCTCTTTTATACCCCTGAAGAATTCATATATACAGATATAATATCTTGATTTTAATGCTTCATTCTTACAGAATAATGACATGAGCTCGACAAGCTGTCATCAAAATGAATGCATAGTACGGGAAATCGGTTTTTGTTGTAATGATCAATATAAGAGAAGAATATACGAAGTAAAACTCATGTTAAAGTTTAAATCTTAATGTTGAAGTTTAAGAATATTTTCAATGTACCTGTGAAGTTTGAGATCCGAGAACTAATCGGTTGTCAAGTGATTGATCGCAAACAGTTTTCACATAGAAGGATAATGTGACCTTGAACTTCCAGACCCTTGACCCTAAATCCAAAAGGGTTCATGTACTGGTCAAGGCCAATGTACCAAGTTTGAAGGCCGTGATTGTTAAAGGTCCTAAATAAATGCATATATTTTAATGATTACATATAATGAGTTTAAACATTTGCAGTACATATTTAACATATTTTTGGATGTTTGAAAATTGTTTTAGATGAATATTCGTTTTAACGTTTTTCTTGTTTTAGCTCTGATGGCCATATTGTGCAGCAGACCGGATCTATTTGAGCAATTTTTGGAGGGAACTATCCTAGAATTATTCCTGTGCAGTTTCAATACTATCTGTGTATGAATTGGGGGGAGATTTAATTTAATTAAACATAACGACGGACGATAGACGGCGGACAAAGGGTATCACAATATCACGTTGTGCTCAGGTGAGCTAAAAAGTAGTGATAGGAATACAACATGTATTTTATGATGCATAAATGTGTACGAAAAACTATTCTAATTTATTGCCTTATTAAAGAGTTACTAAAAGCGGGGTGATAACTAGTGAACAAGAGCGACCAATCTTCACATATGTCGCCAGATGATAGCCAATTATGCAGTTGTACTGAGGGGTGATTGACCAGTTGTAAAGTAGCCGCATGTTGCAGTTACTGTCTAGCAGGAGACAAACAAAATCATTAACAGACCAAAGCTATTTAAGGGCCATAACTCAGCAAAAATAACTCAACCCGATAACCCGTTAACATATGCGCAAGTGTTTGAGGTAGTATAAGAGAAGAAGACAAAACTTAAAAAAAACACAAAAACATTACAGGGCCATAAGTGTGACAAAAATCATTTAACTGAAACATGCCAACGATATGCACTAGACTTGGTATACTTATCATTCCAGTAAAGTTTGGATGAAATTGCACCAGTAATTCTTAAGGAAAAGTCAAAGTTTTGTGACGGACAGACAGACACACGGAGAAAAAGACAATTACGTAGCGATCCCTTTAAGTTGTTTCTGCTTTGTAGAATATACCAGCTTCTGTGTAGATGGCGACACAAAAATCATTAACAGGTCAAAAATGCCCTTTTTATTGAAGGGTCATAACCCAGCCAAAATGATTCAACCGAAAGGCCCATGTATCAAAAACCTGTATATATATTATGATCACTTGAGCTACCGATCAATCCTAGTTTCATTGAATTTGTATTAGTGGTATAAAAGAAAAAGTAGAACTAACTTTAAAACTAAAACTCATTAAAGGGTCATAACTCCGGCAAAAATCATTCCCCGATATGTACAACAAGATTTGGTACTGATCATTCACACAAAGCTTGGATGAAATTGCACCAGTAGTTTTAGAGGAGTGCGGACACGTTTTGTATCTGATGGACAGATAGACGACGGAGAAGTGGTCCCTATATGTCACTGCTACTCTGTAGCAGGCGACACAAAATGAGTGCTATGTAGCCAAATTTGAAATTGCCCTTTATTTCATGATAAAAATTATTTCAGTCTATTACCACCTTAAGAGAGTAATCATCTGGAAACTATGGAACTATGTTTTTTTAAAGATTGTGTAATGATGTAAAATCTGTAAACCTTAATTTATAAGATAGAACATGAACCATTTTAATAATTCTTGTGTTGCACAGACCTCCCACGATGACAAGTGACATATTTTCAAATTATCACCTGATAATGTGTGTAATGAATGAAATTCCAGAAGATTTAGGACTAAAATGTAGCCATTGCAGTGTGGTGGAGTAATGGTGATGTTGAAAAAATACCAAACACTCAAAAAGGGATTATAGACCCAGATATTAACAAGAGCACCGCTAGGCAGAGCATTTTTAGCCCAAAAGTGTTTTTTTAGTAAGGATGAAGCGTTTATAAGACATGGGAATTAAATAAAGTATAACCTCCTTCAAAAAGCACTCCTCCACTTTCAGTTCTAAGGTAACAGTGACTTTGACTATTGACCTTGTGACCCCAAAATCAATAGAGGTCTTCTACCCAATATGGACAATCATCCTATGAAGTTTGAATATTGTGGGCCAAATGGAACTTAAGTTATGCTCCGGAAACTGTTTTCAGTTTTAAGGTAATAGTGACCTTGACCTTTGACGTTGTGACCCCAAAATCAATAGGGGTCTTCTACCCATATGGACAATCATCCTATGAAGTTTGAATATTGTGGGCCAAATAAAACTTAAATTATGCCCCGGAAACTGTTTTCAGTTTTAAGGTAATAGTGGCCTTGACCTTGTGACCCCAAAATCAATATGGATCTTCTACCTAATATGGACAATCATCCTATGAATTTTAAATATTGTGGGACAAATGGAACTAAAGTTATGCTCCGGAAACTGAATTATTCCAGAAGTAATGATAATTTCCCATATGCTCACTCCTTGCTATCTACGGCCGAACCTTTTATCTACCTCGTTAACAACCTCTTTAATTTTTAACGCCCGATTCACCAACAAGTGTCCTTTTTAATAACAAACATGAGCATGGATTCATTTAACATTCAAAGAAACGCAGCAGTTATAAATTGTATTGTGTTAAACTGGTCACATTTGTTTACTTTATAAGGACTTCGAAATGTTCTGAAATATAAGCCAGATGCGATGTTTCTAAGGAAACTCTAAACCGGGAAACAATGTTGGTATTAGGACTTGCACCAGGTAGGAATGCTTCTGGTGTAATAAAGCACGTAATAGATCACCGTGTAATTGTTCTGACTTTTTGCATGACATTTTTTGTCAGATCAGAAAAAATATTGACGTTCTATGCCGTTATCCATGTCATTATATATTATTACCAAAGATATTTTTTATCAACATTGGTATTTTATCGAACTTGATAAAGCAAGTTTATTCATTAAGTCCACATTTTTTGCAATTGGAATCAATATACGATTTAAGAACCAACAAACTCTTGGCAATGTTTAGAGCTACTTAAGTCAAACACTCAACCTAACGTTCTCAAAAACAAAACAATCATACAAAAGAGTACAGAGATAATGTGCAAGTAACTACAAACAGTTCAGTAGTTTCTCTAGTTAAATAAATGAAATAAAATTAATGTTTAAATACATGGAATTACTGGCCACGAAAATATACAATTACATTCAGAAATCTTTATTCCACCACTTCCAAACAGATACCATAGATTGCTGTATGTTCCTGAATATGCCATTTTCATGTTTATACTATATACTGTATACAGTATGTGAAGCATAAAAGACCTAGATGACTAATGCAAAGAAGAGTGTAACAAAAATATCATTTCATCTGAACAAATATCAAGTAAGTAACTGATCTAAGATCATATGTTTAAGTGAACCATTTAATTACACATAGTAATAATTTCAACTTAGCCATATGATAAAGTGGACCATATAAGCCATACGTTTATATGTGTCATCAATATACGGTCATATGTTTTTCTACATATACTAACCGAGGAAGAATATAAAAAGGTTTTAAGAGATAACAACAATATTGTGACCCAAGTCGTTGTTATAGTTATCTTGTAACAGGCTTATTAGCTTCAGGGAAGAAATAACTAACCATTGCGCCCTACACTTTGTCAATAGTTATATGTACGAATATTCTTAAACAGCCGAATGCTCGAGCTTCATTCAAACTTACATTTACCTCGTGGTTAAGAAAAATTTAATGTTATACATGGTTTGAAATATTTTATATCAAAACATTATTTTAATAATCATGTTACAATCAATATTAAACAGATCACAATATTTAACTATTTACCGTACACAATTAGCATGAAAAAATCAGTATAAGTATTGTATATATTACAGAAATTAGCAGTGTCAATGTTTAATGTTAACATTATGTTACAATGAATGACACACTCACACACCCCAACAGCAGTTATAGAAATATATGCTATCAAATTGTAAAAACTTAAGCACTTTCGTCACAATTACTCTACACCAATAGTCTTCATCAGTCATTGTGTAGAGTTTTGTTGCGATAACAGACAGGCAACACTGATGTCATTTTTCATCTTAAGCCCACATTTTCTTTTTTGGTTAATCTCTTCTTTTTTCAAAATTCTTCACAAGTTTCATTTGCGTCTATAAGAATAATTCCATTGCCATGGTATATCTCCCCTTCTTGGTACGTGTTCTTTATCAACTGAAACGTAGATTTATCTATTTGTAATGAACGTATAAATCCATCAACATAACATTGTAAAGTAATTTATCAACACCAAATTGATAAGTTAACGAGTTACTGTATTCTCTCAAACTGTACACAGCGGTTACTTATTTTGATCAGTACATCCGGCCATGTAACACCGCACTTTGGGGTCAAACGCACTTTGGGGTCAAAATCGAGAAATGGACCCCAAAGTGCGTTAATATGCTACATGTCAACGCACTTTGGGGTCCAGAGGTTTGAAGTTCTGCTTAAATACTGAGCACTCACTTATTTTCGATCTGCGACATTGAAATATTTGAGGTGGAGTTCAAGATGGCGGCCGATACTTTGTTTGATGCTTAAGTGATAAAAGTTTCATTAATTTTACCACTTGAAATATCTAAAAATTGTGTTCATATAACAAAGTACTCTGGTACATAAATTGTGGATGTATTCCTAAAATTAAAAGATGCTGCGAAAAAAATCCCGTTCTGTCAGTCATTTACTTGATAACTTTGGTGCCGTATTGAGCCCCATTTTAAATATGATGGGGATAAAATAAAACGCAGTTAATATTTTGTTCAACAAGGAACTATAAATATACTCTATTGCAATGTTCTGGTTAAATATCAAGTTTCTCGATCGGACTATCAAAAGCGATTTTTACAAATACATTATTAAGTTTATCAACAAACTTTTTTTGTAAGCTCCGTAACAACCGTTCGCCAGAGGCTTTCTTAATCGGAAATCTTACATACTTCTTTACCCAGCAAACACAAGACGTCATACTGACGTCAGATTTAAGTCAGGTTCTGACGTCGGATGACGGTCGGAAAAACGGTCGGATTTGAAAGTTTTTTTGACGTAATAATCTGACGTCAGATAGACGTCAGGATCTAACCATTATCTAACAATTTCTGACCAAAAGCTGACCATTTTCCGACCAAAATCTGACCGTTATCTAACAAGTTTCTGACCATTTTACGACCTCAATCTGACCATTTTCCAACCTAAATCTAACCAGTTTCTGATCAATTTCCGACCTCGATCTGACCATTTTCCGATCTAAATCTTAACCTTTTTCTGCCCTAGACATGACCATTTTCTGACCTTAATCTGATCATTTCCCTAATCCTCCTTGTTTACAATGTTATAAATATTTTCTGGCCAATCCTGATTTGATCAAATGTAATGTAACTCATTCTTTTAAGTAACTTTCACTCCAATGAAATGTATAACAAAAAACTAAAAGCAAAAATATGTTTTTATGTTGTTTTTTTATTTAAGATAAAAGTTGCAATTTAAAGCTGATACATACAGTTTTAGTTAATTCTGCAAGGCTAAATACTTTTCATAAACTAAACCAAATAAAACATAAAATAAGTTAATAACAAAACAAAAAGTATTACAAAATCAATGACATAAATGAAACTAAGAAATCATATACAAATATTAATGAACAAAACGTATGTATATTTCTATCAAAGTTTGCCTTATCAAACAAAATAATGAAAATATTTTAATTTTAAGATTTTAAAGTTAAAAAGATTCGGATAATAATGTTTCAAGCAATTAATGACAGATATTCAGTATTTTAACTATATTTCTACAGCATTACTAAAACATTTAGTGGTATTTTTCATATTTTGACCTCCTTTTGATAATTGTCACTAACGTATAAATTACTTCCTTTTAGTTACTTCACAAAGTTATACACAAATGTACTTTTAAATATCCACAAGAATTAGCACGTATTTGGAGGTGTGATTCCTTTAGATATATGACCTTCTCTCACCACCTCTCGTCTGTCCAGAGGATGAAACATGTTAATGTCCAATGGCGTTTGTGATATCATTTTCACTGAAAAAAAAAAGAAATTTATGAAAATTGGAAAAATTACAAGCAAAAATTTTTCATGGTTTTCTGCCCTTATGAAATTTTGAAAGTTATCTTAAATTAATGAACAACTTTGCTAGCTTTTCAGAAGTGAGCTTTAACAAAAATTAAAAGTAAACATAAATACTGAAAATTTAAAAAAACGCTTTAAAACTCCAGTTTTGTTTGGATTATATTATGTAATAGAATTTACAAAATCTTACTTTCCAATGATTCATGTTTCTTTTCACATTATCACGTATTTCTGCCGCTCCGACCTTTGAGAGCATGTCAAACGCTTGAACTACCTGAAAAGAAAATTATATTCTAACTTATGTATATTCTACTTTTGAAATAGAACAGTTACGCAAGTCTTAAATTTTTCATAGTTTCAAATTAAAGAGTGTTTAGAAATTGTTGATAATAAATGTATGTTTATGTACTACGTTTTGTTAAAAAGTTTATGTTGTTTTGATTACATTTTTCCTACTAATGATTATATGAAGCCTCATTCTATATTACATAATCAATCAATTCGCTCTTTCATTTATTTCCCGTTCATTTATTAGAATGATATTAAAATCTGGTGTAAAACACATTAAGGTAAGATTTATTCTGATCAAATATTGGACCGTTTGGGAAAATGCCGAAATGTTTGAAACCGAAACGTCTTGGGTTATTTATTTAGGACCGAAACGTCTTGGTCCGAAATGCTCGAAATCGTATCAATTCATTCTCAATTCTCAGATTTTAAGTGACAAAAACATAATAGTTTAACAAGAATATGAAAACTAAGCATTCTCTTTGGTTATACTGAAAGGCACATTATAAACTCTTCACGAGCAGAGTTAAAACATGCCAAATTTGAAATGATTTATTATCAAACATTATCGCGAATTTGTGTGACATTTTGCTTCAACTGTTCAAATAATGATAATTAAATCTAAGAATGCATGCAATTATTTTTCAAATACAAAGTAGAAATAAATTTACATAAATTAAACTGACCTTTTTGTTCAAGAAAATCTGTAATATTCACTTTATCAATGCATCCCGATTCCTGACATACGAAACGCCTACGAATTTGAATTTTCCATCCACGTGACTGTAGATTCGAATTATAATTATGTTTTTTTTCCTTTTCCTGTCACTATGATTAAATATTAAAGAACTATTAAAAACTCGTGATTTTGATACATATAATATACCACAAATGATAATACTGTAACGTTAAATGGTTGGAACTCGTTAACAGATCTGTGGCTATAAATAGATTTCATAACAAAAACACATGTAATTAACCTATATACAGCGCCACCTATATGTTTTATTAGGTTGCAGCGCCGCGCACGTGGTCTTCGAAAGGCACTTGTATATATATATATATATATATATATATATATATATATATATATATATATATATATCAATTATATTGTAAGCCAAATAACATTTTAAAAAAAGTTTAAATGATTACAACAGCGTATAAGGATTACCTTTCGTTAATTTTTTACCTACTGTCAGGAAACCGACCAGAACCTGACGTTAGTACGACGTCAAAAAGAAACGTCTAATAGACATCGGTTTTTGGACGTCAGATTTACGTCGTATTTTGGTCGCCGACGTCGTGACCAAAATCTAACGATAATCTGACGTTATTTTAACGTCATGTGTTTGCTGGGTAGAAAGGGCAAACATGAATTTCATAATATTAAAATAATGGTATCAGAGAAATGTAAGATGATTGTTACCTGAATAAAGTAGCGATAAATGTGAAATAATTTGCCATAAAAGTAGCAAAATGTAAACAATGTAGTAATGTACTTCCATATAAAATACTAATTCACTTTAACTGTACTCCAAAACTGCCAAAAAGCAACAGATGAAAAAGATGGTTCATGTAATTGGCCAACGAGTAACTTTTTGGATACTAAAAAAGTACACCAAAATTAAAAAGCTTTTAAGAAATACAAATAAAAGCATAATGGGCCCTTAAAACGTAAATTTTATAATCTCGGGGGGATCGACACCCCACCATCCCCTCTAGACCCTTCAATGAGAACATTACATTTTTTTGAAGTTCCGCTCTTAAAGTGTGACTATATACTAAAATAGTTATATTGTCTGTATGGTCTACTACTACTTATGCCACCTAGTCAAGTTTCTTGAATGTCACATTTAAATAAGCTAAATAAATGGCCCTTTCTCAATATTTTCAGGCACATTTTTCAGAATTTATACCTTTGTCTATGCTAAGGCTATCATATTTCTATAAAATGTGTAAATTAAAAAACGGGAAAATGATGCAATTACCTAAAAACAATGGAGTTAATGAAAGGTGTACATTCTTTTAAAATAAACGGAAAATTTGAGAAGAAATATATTTTGAGCTTATTAATTGGTACAAATTCCTTATTCACTTACTGGTCAAGATCATTTAAACCCGTAATGATTCTGCTATGATTCAGCGCACATGTTTAGCGTCAATACGTTGATTATTGTTTACCATTGGCTTTGACTACATTATATTATTTAAAACATAATGAAAATTCATTTTTCATGACCCCAAAGTGCGGTCGTTTGTCTGATATTAAAAAATGCATATGTACCTGTTTAACGCACTTTGGGGGTCGAAATTGGACCCCAAAGTACGTAACGCACTTTGAGGTTGGACCCCGAAAGTGCGGTGTTACACGGCCATAAAAGTTTTCTTTATCCTCAGTAAACATATTGTAATATGCCCGTTGCATTCTCTTTAAGTAAATAAGGCTTACGATTCTTAAATTTGAATTATGTATAGAAGATAAAATAATATAAATATGATATGATAACATAACATACCACAACACTCATATTAATATTTAGTACGAGAAATAACAAAAATGTAATCATCAAAGTTAGTTAAAGCAGAATCCCTCCAGATTCATGCTTATGTTCATGAAAACATTGAAAATGTATTTTAAAGTAAAGTATTGTGAAGCGAACAAAGAAAGTAATTTACACATTGCAAACGACACTTACAATCCACGTTAATTACCAAAAGAAAAAGGTCAAAATATACATAAATACCTCTTACTGCGTTAGTAACGCTGTAGAAATATAGTAACTGATACTGCAAAATCAGTCATTAATCACACATAACATGTAAATGATTAATTAGATATTGAATCTTTTTACTTTTCTTAAGATCTTAAAACATTTTTCTAAAGATTGAATTTCTTGAAATATTTTGGCTCATCTTGAGGTGTGCAGCTTTAAATGTATTTTACGTTACAGTAAATGTTAAAGATGTAACGTTTATCAGAGTTGTAGCAAAATAGTCTGATAAACGGAAAAAATAAACATTCTCTAACCAGAGACATGCAATCGTTTACAAGAAAGAAAGCAAAAAAAAAAAAAAAAAAAAAAAGAGATGCAAATACTCTAAAAGTCTGGCATACCCTTGACAAACCTTTCTTAAGCCACTATCTCTCCCCGTTATTGGTCATTTTCATGGAGAAAGCAATCAAGGACTATCATCTTTTTAGATATTTTTATAAAGAAAAGAGTGTTATGTATCCTATACACACAAGATATAAATATGACATCTCATGAAATGAAAACAAAGTTTTCAAACTGTCCAAATTCTTGTGATTTTCAGGGTACAAACTAACTTTCAAAATTGGGGTACAATTCTAGTATGTGTACCTTATTCTGATAAATATTTTGGGGTACATAATGAAAATAATTTAATGCCCGTGTATATCCAGTAATTTAATGCCCGTGTATATCCAGTAATTTAATGCCCGTGTATATCCAGTAATTTAATGCCCGTGTATATCCAGTAAAGTAAGCTGGGGAAATAACATAGGAACTGTGTAAAATTAAAGATGCTAGGACATTATATTTGAACCAACAAAATACTTCAAGAAATATGTTTACTTAATATTGAAATTATTCGTGAGAATGACGACCTGCCTGACTACCATTCTGAAGCCACTTTTGTGTTTCGTAGATATATATATATATAAGATATTAATAAGATAATAAGCACAATAACTCCTTGATCTTCGGCATACCTTAACTTCTATGTTTACATAATAGTAACAAGAGCACCGATAGGCGGATATGCTCGAAAGTGTGTTTTTAGTAAGGATGAAGCATTGTAAGACATGGGAATTAAATAAAGTATTACCCCCTTCAAATAACAATCCTCCTATGAAGTTTGAAAACTAAGGGCCAAATGGAACTTAAGTTATGTTCTGGAAATTGTTTTCAGTTTTAAAGAAATAGTGACCTTGACCTCTGACCTTGTGACCCCATAATCAAACGGGATCTTCTACCTAATATGGACAATCATCCTATGAAGTTTGAATATTGAGGGCCAAATAGACCTTATGCTCCGGAAACTTTTTTTCAGTTTTAAAATAATAGTGACCTTGAACTTTGACCTTGTGACCCGAAAATAAATGTTTTTTTTTACCCAATATGGAAATCATCATATGAAGTTTGAACACTGTGGGCCAAATGGAACTTAAGTTATGCTCCGGAAACTGTTTTCAGTTTTAAGGTAATAGTGACCTTGCCCTTTGACCTTGTGACTCCAAAATCAATAGGGGCCTTCTACCCAATATGGACAATCAAACTATGAAGTTTGAACACTGTGGGCCAAATGGAACTTAAGTTATGCTTCGGAAACTTTTTTCAGTTTTAAGGTTAAAGTGATCTTGACCTTTACCCTTGTGACATCAAAATCAATAGGGGTCTTCTACCCAATATGGACAATCATACTATGAAGTTTGAACACTTTGGGCCAAATGGAACTTAAGTTATGCTCCGGAAACTGTTTTCAGTTTTAAGGTAATAGTGACCTTGACCTTTGACCTTGTGACCCCAAAATCAATAGGGGTCTTCTACCCAATATGGACAATCATCCTATGAAGTTTGAATATTGTGGGCCAAATGGAACTTAAGTTATGCTCCGGAAACCAAATTGCTAACGGACGGACCGAAGGACGTCCAGACAGACGGACGGACGCCAGGGGCCGGGGTATAACATAATATGCCCGAAATTTGTTTGGGCATATAAAAAGAAACAGGCAACATATGATCCATGAACTTTTTATGATTGGCGTAACATGTCCAGTCATTTTATCTGCTTATTTCAATGTAACATGACACGAGTAGTTTGGCAAATATCAGGTATACCGAATATCAATGTAATATCAATGTTATATATGCGTTATTGTATTAAACAGATCGACACAACTCAATCATTGCTTTGATAAAAAAACATTATCCCTGAAATATTTGTAATAATGTTTAAAGTGTATATTAAGCTTTATATCTTGGTATTTTTGAAGTCATAACTTTTCTGTATATTTATCAAACATCTGTGTGAAATGATACAATTCAGTATGTAATTACACCAACTTCACCAAGGTGCTAGATATACAGTGTACTCTCATCGACTCTTTTCATATATAAAACTTGTGGCTGACGGGTTGTTTTTAATATTTGAGGCATCAGAATTGAAGAAGTTTATCTCAGCGTAAATGTAAGAGGCGGCTGAATCGGTTCCAATTACTGAAGTCTATGCATCAATTAGCTCCAGCAGTAGAGGTGATTTTAACTCTTGGTGTTGCTTTACGTTTGTAACTTCCAAAATTAGCCAAAATCATATTTCCCGTTTCGGCGTCATAGGACCTAAATTGTGTTGGTTCGCCGTAAAACCAAACGAAACAAAAATTAAACGATGATTCTGTCTAAAGTACGTTTAGTTATACTGACTTTACAAAGGAACATGAGATGTTGCCAACCACGTCAGCAACGTTGGAAGTTGCATGAAATATTGCTTATATCCAGAAAGAAAAATATTATTCGCAAACTGTATTTTTGTAAAAACTATAAATTTATACACAAATTTCACAAAAGTGTGATGAAAATGAAATAAATCGGTGACCTAGACTTTCCTTTCATCGACATCGACACAGAAACACAACAGTGCAGCTACATTAATAATTACTGTAAAACAATTAAGAATGAGAACATCATAAATTTCACTTTCGAATCGATAAAATAAAGAAGCATCCAAAAATGAGTACATTATAACACCGTGCAAAAGAATATTAGTTAATTATTCAATAAAGTAAAGGCTCATGCTGGCTTACCCACTACCGTCCAAATATATTCTTTCTGTTCACTCCTAGTATATAAAATCATTAACACTTAACACTTCCCATATATATATATACAAAAGCGTTTAAATACAAAATATTCGACTGATTTTCAAAAGTTTTTCTTCTTCTGATATTTAATATGCCATTTCTAAATGAACATGCACACATCTAGCAATTAAGATATCATTTGAACAAATTATACACAACGTGGCTAACACTGAAATTATGTCAAACTACCTATCAGAGTTATACAACGTAAAAAACACAGTGCATTGTAATATTGCATTGATATTTCAAGTTAATTATCTACCGTTTCCTGAGATAAAGTTGCGGCCAGTTTAATGTGTTTTAAATCAATAACTGGACCTGGCAAGTAATAGTCATTCAATGTAAGTCTCATCAACTTGAATGTCTATCCCCAAGGACTGTTGTGTCCATGTATGAGGACAATTCATTCATAAATAACAAAGCTATAGCCACTTTGTAAAAGAAGAAAAAAGGAGATATCAAAGGAAAACAAGGCAGTCTAAAGAACAGCTAAAGCGGAAATGAATGTTTATTACCAACCATGACATTGATGTTGTGACATACATATAATAAGCACATTTGCTCATCACAAAAGTCTCTTTCAGTTATTGACCAATTATCTTCCATATTCAGAAGGATGTCTTTGTAGATCATCTTATTTTGTTTGAATATTTAGGTCAAGGTCTTGGTAACCATGGGTACTTTTAGACTTCATATATTGCCAAGTTTCTTGCATATTTGGTTGTATCATGCCTTAGGCAAACTTGCTGTTCCGTGGGCTTTAGTTGTATGTCCTGTTTTAACTTACAATACTTGGATAGTGACTCTAATGTATTATTTGTTATAGTTTTCATGTTTTACAAATCATTAAGGTGAGAATTACAAGTTTGCTGGTTATGTTATAACCTTGATCTTGGGGGTAGCCATCTGGTTGTTGTCCTCTTTAGGTGATAATGGTGATCATTTGTGCCAATACAATTAAATAATTTCAGTGGTTAAAAAGTTATGAAGAGGACACCAAATTGTTGACTTTTAACATTTGACCTCTATGTGTGACCTTGACCTTGGGGGGAGCAACCTTAGTATTGCACTCCACACATCATTTCATTATGGTGACCAGTTGAGCAAAATTATTTTAAAACTTTACAAAAGTTTAATAGTTAAGGAGTGGACAGGAAAATGTGAACTTTATCATTAAACCTTTAAAAGTGTGACTTCGACATTGACTTAACAAACTGGATGTACCTCGATCTGAACTTTCATAATCACTTTTCAAGAGATTTGCAAACTTTTGACATTTGGTCTTCATATATGTAAATTATGACGGGAATATAAAAACAAATAAACTGATACATGTACGAGGGTATGACCAAAAAGTTCTCGCCCGATATACTTCTAGCCACTACACTGACTTTTACACACGATACGTCGATACCGATATCTTATTGAAGTTTACCAAAGAGTATAATCATTTGCTTACCATTACTTTGGTAAAATTGAAGGGAGATAACTAAGTAAAAGAAACATTATTCTTCTGTTTTAGCCAATTTGAATAAAAAAGACTAAATTATGTCAAACTACCTATCAGAGTTATACAACGTAAAAAACACAGTGCATTGTAATATTGCATTGATATTTCAAGTTAATTATCTACCGTTTCCTGAGATAAAGTTGCGGCCAGTTTAATGTGTTTTAAATCAATAACTGGACCTGGCAAGTAATAGTCATTCAATGTAAGTCTCATCAACTTGAAGGTCTATCCCCAAGGACTGTTGTGTCCATGTATGAGGACAATTCATTCATAAATAACAAAGCTATAGCCACTTTGTAAAAGAAGAAAAAAGGAGATATCAAAGGAAAACAAGGCAGTCTAAGGAACAGCTAAAGCGGAAATGAATGTTTATTACCAACCATGACATTGATGTTGTGACATACATATAATAAGCACATTTGCTCATCACAAAAGTCTCTTTCAGTTATTGACCAATTATCTTCCAATATTCAGAAGGATATCTTTGTAGATCATCTTATTTTGTTTGAATATTTAGGTCAAGGTCTTGGTAACCATGGGTACTTTTAGACTTCATATATTGCCAAGTTTCTTGCATATTTGGTTGTATCATGCTTTAGGCAAACTTGCTGTTCCGTGGGCTTTAGTTGTATGTCCTGTTTTAACTTACAATACTTTGATAGTGACTCTAATGTATTATTTGTTATAGTTTTCATGTTTTACAAATCATTAAGGTGAGAATTACAAGTTTGCTGGTTATGTTATAACCTTGATCTTGGGGGTAGCCATCTGGTTGTTGTCCTGTTTAGGTGATAATGGTGATCATTTGTGCCAATACAATTAAATAATCAGTGGTTAAAAAGTTATGAAGAGGACACCAAATTGTTGACTTTTAACATTTGACCTCTATGTGTGACCTTGACCTTGTGGGTAGCAACCTTAGTATTGCACTCCACACATCATGTCATTATGGTGACCAGTTGAGCAAAATTATTTTAAAACTTTACAAAAGTTTAATAGTTAAGGAGTGGACAGGAAAATGTGAACTTTATCATTAAACCTTTAAAAGTGTGACCTCGACATTGACTTAACAAACTGGATGTACCTCGATCTGAACTTTCATAATCACTTTTCAAGAGATTTGCAAACTTTTGACATTTGGTCTTCATATATGTAAATTATGACGGGAATATAAAAACAAATAAACTGATACATGTACGAGGTATGACCAAAAAGTTCTCGCCCGATATACTTCTAGCCACTACACTGACTTTTACACACGATACGTCGATACCGATATCTTATTGAAGTTTACCGACCGAGTTACATGCGGTTTTACACAAATTAAGTAACATACAAGAGGGCCCAGAGGGCCATAGATCGCTCACCAGAGAAATAGGTCAAAATGTAGCCCTTTTTCACCCCAGAAGCACAATTTGAAAACGGGGACAGCTAAATCTGAAAAATTTAAAACACTGTCACCAAGGAATTTTTTGTGTAAAATTATTTCAAAACTGAACCAGTGGTAAAGATGTTGTTTAGATGTTGTTGTTTTCTAATTTCAACTCTGGCAGCCATTTTATTGAATAGTTCAGCCTATCACTAAGTGAGATGTGAGCTTATAAAATGACAGAAAAAGAGAGGGAAAACAAACATCTGTCCTGGCTGGGGACTGAACTGTTTCATGCCAAATATCTAAGCTCTACCTTTTTTAAATTGTCAGAAGAAGATTTTTTAGGTTTTTTACAATATACATATAAGGAAAGAAGTCAATGACCCCCTAAGGCGGGGTCAATTTTGAGTTTTTGAATTTTTGACACAAGCTTTGTAGACATCTATTAGAATTTTGTATGCCAAATACCTAAGCTCTACCTCTTTGATGATTTTTCTTAAAGTTTTTACTATATACATATAAAGAAATCAATTACCCCTGGGGCAGGGCCAATTTTGACCATAGAGCTTTTATTTGAACAAAATTGGTAGACATCCACTAGAAGATGTTTCATGCCAAATATCTTAGCTCTAGCTCTTTTGATTTTTTACAAGAAGAGTTCTAGATGGAATTTAATTTTTTGAAGAACTTTAGTAGAGCTTCATGCAAGAAACATCCCTGCAAAGTTTCAACAAATTTGGCCATTTGGTTTAGGAGGAGAACTTATTTAAAAAAATTGTTGTCGCACGGACGGACGATGGACAATGGGCCATCACAAAAGCTCACCTTGAGGACATTGTCCTCAGGTGGGCTAAAAACACATTTTGATCAGTAGGGGGGGGGGGGGTGTCATTTAGACCAAATGGAGAAAGTTGAAATCAGAGCCGTCATTAAGTACCTCTGTAAGAAAGGGATGTCCCCCAAGGAAATCCATGAAGACTTCATGGATACACTTGGGAAGGAGTCCCCTTCCTATAGCACTGTGAAAAAATGGGCTGCTGAATTTAAGAGGGGCAGGGAGAGCATTGGAGATGATGAGCGGCCTGGGCGGCCAAAAGAGGCCACCAACGATGAAACTGCCGAAGCTGTGCACGATCTGGTCATGTGCGACAGAAGGCGAGACCTGCGAAGCATTGCTAGGGAAGTGGGTATAAGCTTTGGTTCAGTTCAGGCAATTCTGACTGATGTCTATGGCATGTCAAAGGTTTCCGCTAGATGGGTCCCCAGACAGTTGACTGACGACCAGAAACGGACCAGGCTTGACGTTTCAAGATATCTTTTGTCTCGCTACGAGGATGAACTGATTTTACCTACCGGATCGTTACTCAGGAAGAACATGGGTCCATAACTTCGATCCAGAATCGAAAAAACAGAGCATGCAAGGGAATGACCCTGGTTCACCCCTCCGAAGAAATTCAAGAGGATGCCATCAGCAGGGAAGATGATGGCTTCAACTTTTTGGGATGGTCAGGGGATAATCATGATTGACTATCTTGAGCAAGGTCGTACCATAAACGGTACGCACTGTAACACCGCACTTTGGGGTCAAACGCACTTTGGGGTCCGACCCCAAAGTGCGTTACGTACTTTGGGGTCCAACCCCAAAGTGCGTTACGCACTTTGAGGTCCAATTTTAACCCCAAAGTGCGTTAAACAGGTACATATGCATTTTTAACATCATGCAAACGACCGCACTTTGGGGTCAAAGAAAATTAATGTTCATTATGTTTTAAATAATATATTGTAGTCAAAGTCAGTGGTAAACAAAAAATCAAGGTATTAAATAGACACAAACATGTGCCCTGAATTATAGTAGAATCAATAGGGATTTAAATGATCTTGATTAGCAAGTGAAGAACTTTCACCAAATATATCACCAAATAAAGAATTTGTATCAATTATTAAGCTTAAAATATTTTTTCTCAAATTTTCCATTTATTTTACAAGAATGTACACCTTTCATTAATTCCATTGTTTTTAGCTAAATGCATTATTTTCCCGTTTTTTATTTACACATTTTATAGAAATATGATAGTCTTAGCATAGGCAAAGGTATAAATTCTGGGAAATCTTAGTAAGACATTTCAGTGATAGTATGTTGAAAGAGCCACTTATTTAGCTAAATGTGACATATAAGAAACTTGACTAGGTGTAGATGCGGCTTAAGTAGTAATCAGTACAGGCAGTACTAAAGATATCAACTATTTAAGTAGTCGCACATTAAGAGCGGAGCTTCAGAACAATGTAAAATTCTCACTGGGGGTATAGAGGGGATTGTGGGGTATCGATCCCCCGAGGGTTAAAAATAACGTTTTAAAGGCCCATTATGCTTTTATTTGTTTTTCTTAAAACCTTTTTCATTTTGATGTTCTCCGATATTATTAAAAAAAATACACATTGGCCAACTACCTGAACCATCTTTTTCATTTGTTGCTTTTTGGCAATGATGAGTACAGTTATAGTGAATTAGTATTTATAGGGAAGTCAAATACTACAGTGTTTGGACTTCTTTTATGACAAATATTTTCACATTTATCGCTACTTCATTCAGGTAACAAGCATCTTACATTTCTCTGATACCATTATTTTAACATTATAAAATTCATGTTTGCTCTTTCTAAAGAAGTATGTAAGATTTCCCTTAAAAAAAGCCTCTGGCGAACGGTTGTTACGGAGCTTACAAAACCCTTAAGTTTGTTGATAAGCTATATGTTTTTTGTAAAAATCCCTTTTAGTCCGATCGAAAAACTTGATGTTTCACCAGCACATTGCAATAGAGTATATTTATAGTTCTTTGGAAAAAAATATTAACTGCATTTTATTTCATTCCTAACATATTTAAAATGGGGCTCAATATGGCACCAAAAGTTATCAAGTAAATGACCGACAGAACGGGATATTTTTCGCAGCATCTTTTAATTCTAGGAATGCACAATTTCTGTACTAGAGTATTTTGAACGGTGGCATAAAAGTGACATTTGTATTTTTTTTTTGGATACTTTTGTTTTTATTTTTCGTACATATTTTTTGTTTGTTTGTCGTACATATTCTTTTTAATTTTGAATACATACATTTTTTAGTTTTGCATACATATTCTTTTTTAGTTTGCATACATACTTTATTTTAGTTTTGCATACATATTTTATTTTAGTTTGCAAAAAAAAAAATTTAAAAAAATGATATGAATGCAAAAGTTTTGTACAATATAACTTTGTCATTATTGAGCCGGTATACTATTAGTTATAAAGATCGTTGACAGATTATATGGCCCTATATAAACGGCTTTTTGTATATATAACCCGAGTCGTTAGGCGAGGGTTATATTGCAAACAGCCGTTTATATACGGCCATATAACCTGTCAACGATCTTTATAACGAATTTATAATACAGCAAGCATCATTTTTAGAGAAAAAAAGTAAGATTTCTTCATGAATCGACAGCAGCCGTGTATATAAAACTATATAAACGTCTCGATTATCCAATGAAAAATGACGTTACAAGCGTGCAGTATTATAAATATACATGTAGTATGTTTTTTCTCTTTTTCTCATATCAAGGTTTTTTTATTATTATTAATTATGAGAATTTTTGGTATCACATGTGCAGATCCATATTATATGTGTAATTTATTGTATATTGCTGTATTTATATTCATGAAAGATTCTGTATTTATTGGACAAAGTTTTTATTCCCGCGTTAACGTCACGTTCTGTTTAGCGTATAGTTAAACGGACGTTGCGTCATTTGTCATTTGTTATTTTATAAACGTCAATTTTTTCTGAAGAAGACTAAACGTCGAAAGCTTAAGAAAAGCGTTTGTTTTTATTGAACTGATTATATTTTAGTTTGCATACATACTTTATTTTAGTTTGCATACATATTTTATTTTAGATTTTTTTTGTACATATTTTATTTTATCACACACCCGTGCCGATTTTGCGACTCCGTAAATATGGTATTGCACGACCGTGCATATATTTTGACGTGACGTCATTAGCGTTAAACAAACATAGTGTAAAGACGCGCTAAATGTTAGCGTTATACTATAGACGCGTCAATGAAAAATTACTCTTATTTCACTTTAAACGGTCTTTATTTTGGGTATGTGATAAATAGAATATTAAATTCGTGTAAGTTCATTACTGAATTTATTGCACTCGTTGAATAAAATAATATTATAAATTTATTCAACTCGTGCAATAAATTCAGTATTGAACTTACACTCATTCAATATCCTTTATTTGTTTTTTTCGTACATATTTTTACATGGCGCCATTTGCAAAGTAGAGGTTTGGATAATTACACCATTTGTAAAACACCATTTTTAAACACTTCGCCATCTGTAAATTACAGTACCTCATTTCCAAATGCCATTTGCAAATACCAATATTTTCATTTTTGGAGGTATCAAAAGTAACGACACTTTTTAGCATATATATATATATATATATATATATATATATATATATATATATATATATATATATATATATATATATATATATATATATATATATATATATATAAATATATAGTCCGCAAAGAATGGTTCTGCATATGGTCTCGATGTGGTTAACATTTGTAAAATCCTTCATGGGGTTTCGGAGATAAGGAGCGGACATGAAACCCAAGTCTTTATCCTTTGACCTGAAGGTGTGACCCCGACCTTGAGCCGGCACACCTGGCATATAAATTCTGCACATTATCTGGATGTGCTTAAGAATTGATCTAGGTTTCATTATTCTCAATTCTCAGGGAGTGGTGCATATTCATGGAATAATAACTGATCACCAATCAACAGACCTTTCCAAATTGACACTAATATAAAAGTTTATAATGATAAAAAATAATAATTATATAAAATGCATATTATATAAAAAATGGGCCGAAAAGTGTCGGCCGAAACCAGACTTGCCCGGCCGAAAACGATAAGGCCGATTCCAAAAGTGGGCCGAAATGGGACCAAACCACTGTGCTAGTTTTATACTCACCTATGGACTGTTATGAGATTTGAAAGCTGATTTTATTGGCTAAAATATGTACGAAAAACAAAAATAAAATATGAATGCAAAACTAAAAAAAAATATGTATGCAAAACTAAAATAAAATATGTATACAAAACTATAAACAAAATGAACCCAAAGTGCGTTGATATGTAGCATATTAACGCACTTTGGGGTCAATTTCTCGATTTTAACCCCAAAGTGCGTTTGACCCCAAAGTGCGGTGTTACAACGCACTATGTAGACGAATTGAAACGTCTGCTTCAAGAAATCGCGCATAAAAGGAGATGCAAACTGACTCAAGGTGTTCTGCTCCTGCAGGCAATGCGACAGCTCACACATCTCAAGTGGCGATGGCTGCTGCAACTGACTGTGGCTATGAAATTCTTCCCTATACCCCATATTCTCCGGACTTGGCCCCCTCCGACTTCTACCTGTTTTCGAAACTGAAAACCAAGCTTCATGGTAGACGTTTTGGAAGCAATGAAGGTGTCATTGAGGCGGTCAATGAGTTCTTTGATGTAGAGGGCAATTACATTGAAAAGTAAGACCATTAGTTGGGTTCTCTGACTACCGGAAGTACATCGGGCCAAGAACTTTTTGATCAATCCTCGTATTTATTTTCTATATCCCTATTGTACAAAATTACTCATGTCTTTCCTGTTTGTTTCTAGAATAGCGTCCAGTTTAAATAGCTAGCTTGTATAAAGACAATCTTTACCCAGATAATTCGTTTCTGAACTTAAAAGGCATTCTGTTTATATATAAATTATGTTCCACATTCATTGGAACAAGGTCATCAATGAATAATAAAAACAGTAAAAGGGACACTACCTCCTCTTGTGTTGAGCCTTCTGCAGATTTTAAGTAATCTGAATAGGCAATAGCGACCCTCATTAAGGCATAAAGTTACGGTACTTACTGAGTGGAGAGTCACACCTTGGTCCTATCCATCCATTTTTACAACTACAAGATCCAGATATAGGATTGCATATTCCGCCATTATCACAGTCACAAAGGAATTCACAGTTCGGCCCAAACCGACCTTCTTTGCATGCTGTATACATAAAATTACATATTCAAATAGAATAGAGAGTTATATATTAAAAGAATTAACTTAATCTACAAAATATATATGTTTAAAATCTATAAATCGCACGTTAAAAGCTTGAACGAATGAGACATTAAATTGAATGTAAAAAGATATTCCTAATAATATTCCTTAGAGGCTAAAGTTTAAGTGTTTCTTACATAAGGTGCAATCAGGTGGCATAAATCCCGCCGGACAAATACACTCTCCTGTCACGTGGTGACAATTTCCAGAGTCACATTCACACGAATTCGAGCAACGTTTTCCATACAGACCAGTTGGACACACTGAAACACACAATAAAAAATTGTTCTTTGCTAAACCTCAGTTTATTTAAAAGATAAAAGCATTTCTGGCAACTTAGTAATATATTCATTCAATCAATACCAACAAAATATGACGTTGCAACGGTTAAAAATTACAACTGGTTAAAAGTGTTAAAAACTTTGATTGGCTGTTTATTTCTGGGGTATAAATATTTATTCATGTATGACTTGAGGTGTTACTTGATCTTTTGATGACACTTTTTCCAAGCAACTTGAATAAATAATCTTAAATGGTGTTAACTAGGATGGTGTAATTCGATTGTCCATCACTGGGTTATGCAACTTTCATGCCATATTACAATGACTGAGCAGCCATTATTTAGAAGAGAAAAATCTATGAAGCACAGGATAAACTTTTTTTAACATAAGTGAGCTCTATACTATGTTAAAACTTCAACTTAAAAGCAAATTTGTTAGTCTGAATATATATAAAGAAGCATGGCTTGTTTCAAAGGATGACTTCATATGAATATCAAATTATTTAAGTTACATATACTTGCAAGTTAATGTTTTGTTATGCTCGTCTATAAATCTATACTGTTACACACAATAGTGTTTCATGTTAGCACACATCTACTTATGTCATACCAATTTTCTATTTATTCTAATAATACCACTCCTTAATGTAACATATAAAATTGCTTTAGCACCAATTGCTTTTCCTTTAAAAAGACTCATTTCATCATAAATCATGATTGATATTTTTAGCATATGTGAATTGTGTGAGACAGGTATACCTTGTTGGCACGTGTCACCAGTATATCCAGGTATACAGTCGCATGCCCCAGTTTCAGCATCACAATCTGCGCCATTTTCACAATCACATCTTTCTGAACAATACTGCCCATGTGTGCCACTGGGACACGCTGAAAACGAAGAAATATGAATAGTATGAACACTACGAGATAAAAGAATGGCTTAAGCAACTGTTGCAAAACTATTGAAACTTGGCACAATGGAAAAAAATCTTTAAAAACGTTCGTTTATGCTTGGAATCCAGGCTGCGTTTATCAATTATGTAAATTACTACTTTTTTCTATCAAATATCATGTTACCTATCGAAGTTTTAGAAATAATATATATTTTTGTGCAAGATGCTTTAGCATTTTATTTTACTTGCAAATATCCGTTAAGTATAAGATGTCCGAAGCATGAAATTTTCGTGTTTTGCAATATGACCAATTATAAACATGAACACAATGATATACACATATTATACCAGTTACACAAAACGTGGACTTATACGCATACAGAATGCATCAGCTTACACTGGCGATTTTTACCAAATTGAGTAAAAAAATTATTGGCTGGAAAAAAAGTTAAATAGAAAATAAACTGATTTTTTCTATCTGATTTTTTAATATATTGATATTATATTACATTAAACATATTTTAGGTCAAATCAATGCGACTAGCACCTTTGTGTGAAATGAGCATGGAAATCATTGGTTTTAGCATTTCTAATCGTTTAAACTAGTTTATAAACACCTATTTTTCTAAAATGTGTAATGGGCGGGGAAAAGACGTTACATTCCTTGTATTTACATCTGATATAAGAGGATACAGATACCATCTATAAAACAAGGGCAACATTGTCGCAAAATACGCCAGTCACAAAAGCTTTTGACAGAGATGTGGGCACTATAGATATACATATGGGCAACATCCGGACAATATCTGGATATTTTATCATCTCAAGTGACCTTGACCTTGCAAATATTAACCTAAATAACAGGTGTCACACTTGTAGTCATGATAGTTATGAACTTATCATTTGTGTTACAATCCATCGACAAGAAAAGCATTGATGCAAAGCATCAAAGGGCGTCCAAGCAAGAAATGCAGCAAGTGAAGATGAACTAGTAGACATCTGATGACTAGATATTCTTATGACGTTTCAAAAGTTAATTGGTTTTTACCAAAATTGTATAATATTTATGAATAGGCGGACGAAAGACATTGTTCATCATGAACTTTCGTAGGCATACTAGAGATTAAAATATTTTTTCCACAGGAACTTGAAATTCTATCAATATTAACGATAATATCCAGAATATACAGGTCTATAATATCCAAAATATACCCCCCTATATGGAATAAGTTTATTTATACTATATAGGGGGTATTTTTGGATACTATCATAAATATTGGTCATTTTATAAAATTTCAAGTTCATGTGGTAGATCTATTTTCTTTGGAACATACAAAATAGTAGTCAAAAGGAAAAGAAGTCTATTAATTGATTTATTGGGAGGTCAATGTACTATTTTAATGAATTACTCTGACCCATCAGTGTGTTTACATTTGGAAATATGTCCTGTGATAAGATGCATGTGAAATTTTTAAAATATATTCTGGGTGTACACAAAAAAACATCAAATGAGGCAGTATGCGGTGAACTAGGACGGTATCCACTATTTATTGATGTAATATGTAGTTATGTTAAGTTTTATCAAAGACTGCTAAATGGAAATGTTAGCAAATTACTATCTGCTGCCTTTATTGAAAGTCAAACATTATTTACGGATAATAAAGTTTGCTGGGTTTCTTGTGTACAACATTGTTTTAAGCATTTAGGTATATCTGATGCTGGTTTAACCAATAAGAACTTAGTAAATGTTATTAAACTCAAGTTAGTGAAAATGTACCAAACCAACTGGTGTTTGAATATCTCAGGTACTGAAGGGAAACTTAGAACATACTCTTTGTTTAAACAAAGGTTTTGTAGAGAAGTGTACTTTAGACATATTAAGGACAAAGATATAAGAACTTTCTTCACCAAGTTTAGAGTAAGTGCACACAGATTGAATATAGAAACAGGCAGATATAAAAAGATCCCAGTAAATCAAAGGTATTGTAACTGTTGCTCTTCCAATCTTGTAGAAGATGAAATTCATTTTTCCATGTGTTGTACAAAATTTGATAGTAATAGAGAACTACTATTTAGACAAATTGAAATATCAAATAAGAACTTTTGTATGTTGAATAATAAGCAGAAATTTGTTTGGTTAATGTCCTCGGAAGACCCTAGAGTCTTGAATGTCTTTTCTAAATACCTACTCGAAATTTATAATAAAAGAAATCTTATGTTAGGTAGTACTATTAGTAATAAAAATTTGTCAGACCATTGAATGTATATTTTTGTACTTGAATATCGAATGAGTAATTAGTGTTGTTTTTTTTTTTTTTTAATACTGTTTTATTTATTTACTTCTTATTTTAACATTACTATGCCTGTGTTATTTGTTTTTCCAATAATACGAATTAAGCCTTAGTTACTTTATTGTCTTCATTTCTACCATACAATACACAATTTGTTGGTTGATATATTTTGTTTTATGCCTTGTGTTTTATGCTTGTGATTATATATGTCATATAGTATGACCCTTGATTGGTGAAATAAAATTATTCTATTCTATTGTTTATATAGTATTTCAATTAATTGTTTGAATATGTTTGTATTTCATTTCCTGCAAATTCTCCAGTTCGTTATCTATAACCATAGCGCGACACGAATGACCGTTTCGTTAAACTAAAATACTTCTATAAATAGATTTTCGGACTTTCACAATGTTAAGGTCATCATCCTAATTACAGGTACAGCAATATATAATAACCAACTGTGATTAATAAAAAGAAACCGAAGAGCGTGATTCATTGACGGATAAGATAATTTCATTTTAATATGTTTGCATTGCGAAGTTCTCCAGTTCGCTATTCATTGTACATATCGCGACATTTCATTTTTGATAAGCAAACATCCGCATACCAATCGGAATGATCGGCTATTATGACCGACGAAAAAGCCCGAGAAGTTGCAATTGCCCTTTCACAAAATCTGATTTCATTTCATAAAGGGCGTAAATACTTAGCCTCACACTGATGAACATTTGTGCTAAGTTACATTGAAATCCCTTTATGCATAACATGTAGAAGTTTTGCTCCGGAGAAGCGATTTTCAATGGCCTCTAAGTGTGGGCGCAACACAGCTTCTCATAGTAGGGAACATCTCTATATAGTTTCATCAAAATTCTTCCATAGATGTCGGAGATATGCTCCGGACAAAATTGAAAGCCGCCCGCCAGGTGCGTTTCTATAATACGACCCGTTTTATCAAACGGGCGTACAAAAACACATAAATCATACAGACAGAGCTGGTAATAGAGCGGAAAGATAAAACTGACAAAAAATCTAGTATTAGCACTGGCACTCACAATTTAAAAGTGACATTTAAATAGATGTAAATGCCATTATAAACAAGCAAGTAAAATAGTGATAAACGAACAGATATAGTACCAATCAACAAATATATCACCGACATACGGACATTGCTGAAATGACACAGATTAATTAATAGAAAACGCAATGATAAACGAACAAAAATGACACTTAAATGTAGTGCTTATAAAAACATTGAAACTTAACACAGATAAAACGAAATAGCGCTTATATGCACAGAGACATTAAATAACAACATTTTGAAGATAGACCTGCACAATTAACACAAGTTTGTGAGCCATTATATTAAGTAAAACATATACATGTATAAGAGAACAAAAACAAATTACCTATTTCACAAGATTGTCCATAAAAACCAGGCTTACATTCGCAGCAGCCAGTGACAGGATCACATGATGCTTCATTCTGACATTTACATGAATATTTACAATCCGGACCAAACTTTCCAGACTGACAACGTTCCTCGCATGTTGGGCCTTGCCAACCTAACCCACATATACATCGACCAGTGTTAGGATCACAATGTCCCATTATTCCGCACTGACATTCTTCTTCACAATTGTCACCGTAAAACCCCTCTTCACAAACTAAAATAACAACTGGCATTTTACATTTTTAGTTGTAAATCTATATGACATAAATGTTACATGTCATCAAACTCATAAATACAATTAAATCAAATTATGAGAAGTATTTGTTGATTAAAATGAAGTGTTTGTTAATATTGTGTGCATATAAAAAATAATATATCTGTTTGAGGCGTACATAAACGAACTTTGAAGTGTATTTTAAACATTTTGGCAAGAAAAATATGGTTTTATGTATAGTGAGTAATCTAATATCAAAAGTATGCTGACACTTATAAAAACAAGAGCCATGTCAACATGGCCATCCCCCGCCGAATGTGTTTGCTCATTGGAAGAATGTATATGTAGTAGAGCGGAATAATTCCATTTTAAGAGATCTTTTGGTAATGAAAACTGATGGCTATAGTGATTACAGATGTGAATACTGATGGCTGAAAATAACAAAGGGCAATTACTGAAAAATAATGCAGGGTAGGTTATCATTCTTGTGTGCTGCATCCCTCCTCAGTAAAATCTATCCACCTATGAAGTTTCAAGTTGATACCTCAAATACTTTTTGAGAAAAAAATTGAATTGAAAAATTAAGTATGAAAAAGAACAAAGGGCAATAACTCAAAAATTATAAAAGGTAGAGTTATCATTCTTATGCAGTGCACACCTCCTGAGTGAGATCTATGCACCTATGAAGTTTCATTTTGATATCTCAAAGGCTTTTTGAGTTATGCTCTGGACAAAAATTAATTTTGAAAAATAACAAAGGGCAATAACTAAAAAATAATGCTGGGTAGAGTTATCATTCTTAAGCACTGCACTCCTCCTCAATGAGATCCATCCACCTTTGAAGTTTCAAGTTGATACCTCAAATACTTTTTGAGATAAGCTCTGGACAAAATAGCATGAAAAAAAACAAAGGGCAATAACTCAAAAATTGTATAGGGAAGAGTTATCATTCTTGCGCACAACATTCCTCCTCAATAAGATCTATCCACCTATGACATTTCATGTTGATATCTCAAACACTTTTTGAGTTATACTCCACTCAGGTGAAAAATTAGGTATGAAAAATAGGTGAAAAATTAGGTATGAAAAATAACAAAGGGCAATAACTCAAAAATTATGAAAGGTAGAGTTATCATTCTTGTGCACTGCACACCTCCTGAGTGAGATCTATGCACCTATGAAGTTTCATGTTAATATCTCATAGGCTTTTGGAGTTATGCTCTGGACAAAAATCAATCTTGAAAAATAACAAAGGGCAATAACTCAAAAATCATGCAAGGAAGAGTTACCATTCTTGTGCACTGCACTCCTCCTCAATGAGGTCTATCCACCTATGAAGTTTCAAGTTGATAACTCAAATACTTTTAGAGATATGCTCCGGACAAAAATGTCGGACGGAAGGACTGACGGACGGACGGAAGGTCGGACGGACGGACGGACGGAGACTATTTCTATATCCTCCGCCGAAAATTTTCGGCGGGGGATAATAAAAGAAATGATTTACCTTTTTCACATTTTCCCCCCTTATATCCTGGTAAACATTTACAATGTCCGTTTATCTTGCTGCATTGAGCACCATTCCTACAATCACAAATCTTTGTACAATTGTCGCCAAATCTTCCCTCTGGACACTCGTGCTTACATGTTGAACCTACAATGGTATAAAATAATAATCTATCATTTTCATTTATATTACATATGACAGTGAAAACAAAATTGCATGCCACTTAGTTGAAGTTTTATTTATCGAGAATTGTATAAGAATATTTGATGAGTATATCGTAGCTTTTCATCAGTGTTCAACAAACTCGTTTTAGGCACTGTCTTTCATATTAATAACTAAACTTACATAAACTGTTTTCGTTCAAAGCGTCACAGTGGTATATCCTTGATATCATAAACATTTTCCGTTCAGAGCGAAAATGGGGGTCTATAAAACTAAATATCCTTGATTACATAAACATTTTCCATTCAGAGCTCGCAGTGGTCGAAATGTATCTTTGATTACATAAACATTTTTCGTTCAGAGCGTCACTGTAGTTTACATATCATTGATTACATAAACATTGGTCTACATACCTACATATCCTTGATTACATAAACATTTTCCATTCACTGCGTCACATTTGGAATCTCGCTCACATTCACATTGTCTGTCACAATTAGGACCATACTCGTCTTCGCTACAACCTAAATAGTGACAAATTATTCTGCTTTGTTTAAGTATGTATCACTGTCTAAGAATACTGATTTTTACGGCGTATTATGCAATCCTTTAGGTATTGAATCCAAGGAAAATACTGTTACCCGAGGCGTTACGAGGGACGATATATTCACTGTTACTCACAAACCCATGTGTTATTAATTTTTACAAGGGATGATATATTTACTGTTACTCACAAACCCATGTGTTATTTATTTAATTATCCCGAACAATAACTGTGATGATTTTTTATGATTTTATTTTCTTAAGAAAATAGACCATGTGAGTTAAAACTAGAACCGTATCCAAAGGACACGGATGCCCCCACTGACAACATATATATGGTATATAGTGAAAAAATCAACAAAGGGCCATAATTCTGTTAAATTTGGTCGCAGCAAAAATTCCTTCCTTTACTTCCATATAGACATTAAGGAAGTTCATCCCTGGAAGTTTAAGCAAAATCTGCCATCCGGTTAAAGATGAGTTGCATTCACAAAATTTCTATATTGTACATAGTGAAAAAATCAACAAAGGGCCATAATTCTGTTAAATTTGGTCGCAACAAAAATTCCTTCCTTTACTACCATCTACACATTAAGGTTGTTCATCCCTGGAAGTTTAGACAAAATCTGCCATCCTGTTTAAGAGGAATTGCGTTCACAAGATTTCGGGACGTACGGACAGACGTACGGACGGACGGACGGACCTTCATACCAGAGCTACATTATGGGGTTTTCTTTTGTTATTTCTTTTGTTCTTTTTAACCCCACAATGCAGAGAATAACCTCACAAGAGAAACGGAATGAATGACATCAAAGACATCTATTGTTATGAGAACAATAGACCAAACCCCATAATGTAGCTCTGGCTTATACGGACAGACGTACGGACGGACGGACAAGTGCAACGCTATATGCTCCCCACTTTGTTGGGGCATAAAAATATTATTACCCCTCACTTTTTTCGTAATGTTAATTTCCTGTAGGCCTCTGGGAGTTTTTCTTACTGTTAATGCAAGTGTATCACGTGACTAAGAATTTTGTACTGTTACAAAGGTTAGTGTTTTGTTTTCTAAATAAAACACAGCTTATTGTATGTTTATGACTAGTAGATATCATCACTTGCTTAAAGAATAAAAGAAAAAGAAAACTTCTCAAGTAGGCCTAAAGTACACTTAAAGCTTAAAAGGTTAGGACAGTTTAGTTATTGTTACTCTTGGTTTATTCTTGTTACAGTAAGATTAAAATATGATAAACAAGATCAACAAGGAAAGGCGGCGTTCAATGAACGCAACCCCCATACAACCCATCAACAAGAACCAGTGGCAAGGAGCCCAGGCGGACCGCAAACAAAAAACAGGACAGGACACGGACAGTTAAATCACTAAAATGATACATAAATTGTAACTGATAAGGAATTTAAAGAAAACAAATAAATGATCAAACAACAGGCCCACAAAGTCAAAGGGCACATGGGAAGGGACAGGAGACCGGGGAGGGGGGGGGGGGGTAATCAAAGAAATAAAAACTAGGGGCAAAGGGGAAGATACTTACCGTAGACGAGTTAAGTTAACAATTTCAGATCTACTTTTGTTCGGGGTAATAAAATAAATAACACATGGGTTTGTGAGTAACAGTAAAAAATATCATCCCTCGAAAAAATACTGTTACCCTCGGCTACGCCTCGGGTAACAGTATTTTCCTCGGGATGGTATTTTTACTGTTACCCACAAACCCATGTGTTATTTATATACTGTTACCCTGTAACAGTACAAATTTCAAATTTCTTAACCACGTGTATTAACAGTATAAATAACCCTCACTGGCCTATATCATTTTATTCGCATGCCCCATAAAATATTTGATAATGCTACGTGCTCATTTAATCGTAATATGGCGAGTCTAACTATAAACATAATTTACCATGCTCATTTTATTGAATAAAATTAAAATATTTATCGTCATTATAATTTGTTTATATAACTTGTTCACACTATATTATCTTCTGACATTACAGCATTCATTTTCAATTAAACATTTTTTTTACAATAATGTGAATATACAGTTGATTAATTACGAGGGAAATTGAAAAATATTGTCATTTGTGCTTTGACGAATGTACACAAATCTACCTCGACACGAATCTAGTGTCTAAATTACCTGCCCTGCTCTAACTGACCGTAAAGAACATGTCAAACATGAACTTAATGTAGATGGTCCAACAAAATTACACCCAAACAAATAGTACATAAGTTAATCATAAAAAGCTCACTCATTATGTCGAGATATGTTGAAAGCTTTCATATTCCAGTTTAATTACAAATAACGTTACTTATCTCAATAATAAAATAAAGAAATGAAGATCTCATATATGTACGACAAAAAGCGTCATAATAACTGCTACATTTTCTTCCAGTCTAAGTACAGCCAAACACGGATGTTATGAATTAAAGCCGAGAGTAAAAATGTAGACATAAAATCGGAGTAATGATTTTAATATAAAGCAAGAATGCAAGAAAATAACTCAAGGAAATAACTTTTATGTGGAAAATATGTGCTAAAATATATGTTGTTGGGTGATTGACATGAATGATCACGCAATACATGAACACAACTATGCATATTTGTAATTTCTCTATTTTCATATATGAACTCACTTTAATTGGTGTGGCTTAGAGGTACAGGAAATTGAGTCATCTGGGGTAAAACACAAGATTACTTAGCCAAAATTGGTAAAAATCGTGTTAACAATCTTAGAGGGTACTGTGCCGATCAAATAATCTTGGAAATTGGTCGAAATTGGTCAGAAAGGCTGTTTTAATGATTTCTAGGCCAAGTTCGAATATGTGTCATCTGGGGGGCAAAAAAAATAGTTCAAAGCTAAAATAATGTAACTCGAGCCCAAATATCCTTCAAATTGGTCAAAAAGATTGTTATATCAATTTCTAGTTCAACTTTGAATATAGGTCATCTTGGGTACATAGCTCAAACATGGAAAAACTAATTTAGCACTATAAATGTAATATTTTCAGCCTCAATATCTTGAAAATTTGTAAGCAAGGTTGTTTAAATGATTTCTAGCCAAAAAACTAGGCGACACAGCCCAAATACGGAAACACCTTGTTTACATTTGCACTACATCAGATGTTATGATATCAGTTAAATATTTAAACATTATTTCTGTTTTTCTTTCATAGTTAACAATATTGCTTGTTCCATTAAGCAATAATCAGGTAAGCGATATAAGGGTCATCATGGCCCTCTTGTAAGGCTTGGCAGCCATCTTGTTCAAGAAAACGGAAGGGCATTCCTGTAAAGTTTCATCACTATTGGCCAATTAGCCAGGAGAAAATATCACTTAAAGCTAATTTTCATATACATCTCTGGCTACCATCCTGTTTATCAGACGGGAATTAATTGATGTGTTAAATAAAAAGACTACCTAATGATCATTGCGGCACAGTTTTATCAAAATCTACTATGTTGTTGAGGTGAAGATGTCGTTCATGATAAAACTCTACAACAAGTGACAATATATTATTTTAAAACATCGTTAATTTCTAAGTATACAGTTCCGGTAGTAAGAAGTCTTGTTTAATAATTTAACTCACGAACTATAATACTGCAAACAGAACCATACAACAAATCGTGCATCACAAACAACATACTACTTGTCATTTATATATATTACCTATCCGTAGTTCCTCTACAATCATAGATATAGTAAAACTATTGTAACATTGTAGGCAAGATTGGACAAAACATTATCATAATATCATATTTCAACATACAAACAAACATGAACAAGAGCACTGCAAAGGCGCCTGGATGCAAATTTGTTTTAAGTAATCACAAATTTTAATTAATCAAAATAATTTTTTACATTAGAGACGAGACCCATTTATTACACTTGTCCGGAACATGTTTTATTTCAATTATCAATATAATAGTGAGTGAGATCTCTATTCATACAAAAATTAAGAAAACTGATCAATAGTGTTATAAGCTACGGTTAGAGTTCAAGTTTCTAGTTTTACTGACTGAAAACAACAATAGTGTTGGTTTCTAAATGATTTAAAATTTTAAGAAAACTACAAATATTATTAAACCAGAAATTCAAAAGCACAAAATATTGTTTTATACAAAAGTGATAATTCTACTTTTATAAAGCCCACAAAGATATGCTGCATGCTAAATACTCGTATCTCACGTTGTAGGTTGGAGGAAAATACTATTATGACTTGTACCTTATAAAAATCTATGTACATATAAATTTCGTGAGACCCATCAGGTAGAGGATTTTGTTAAACCAGTGAAATGATTTATTGTAACTATTGTAAGTTTTTTGTAGGTAATGATACATGCCAAATAACTAAGTTCTGGACATTGTAGCTTTACATAAGAATACATGTAAATAAGTTTTTCTACTTAAGTGACCCCTGGGGCAGGGCCAAAATTGACCCTAGGAGCATGATTTATATAAATTTTGTAGAAATATGTAAAATTTAACATAAAATACCTCCCTTTACTTCCTTTTATGTAAAGCTTTTAAAATTCAGCCATTCAGACAAGCATTGGCAGTCATGGAACAAACTTTCTGCAACTCAAAGTCATTTATGGGTCAAATTGAATTTTTCAATAATTGGTTGAGCGGTGTAGGACACAAGATTGTGTCTACAGACACACAGACGACAAGATATCCTTTCGGACGGTACATCCTCAAACCGGTATATGCCCTAATAACTTTCCTAGGGCTTCAGAATTATAAGTGGCACTCTGGATTGTGTCATTTTTGATCGCAGGATTTAACTTCTTTGTATAGGTCCGTAAGGTAATTCTGCACGCCAAAGGATAATTTATTTTGAAAGTGTCCAAAATTCAACTTGTAGAGTAGTAAGAGATTTAGGTGAAAAAAATTGTAGACAAAGACGACCGACGGACGACTTGCCATCACAAAAGTTGAGCCGAAAAGAAATATGCTCAAGTCGAGGTGATTGTTTTAGAAAAAAAAATCTCATGGAACGTTAAGTGTTCCAACACATTTCAGTAATGTGTTAACAGGAAGGGAAATAAGCAGCGACAGCAGCGGTGGCGGAAGCAGTGATATCATAATTGGTGACCAACGTTGATGTTAAATTGAATTTAATCTGACAGTTCTTTGATCTTTAAAACACTAAAAGCATTTTTGCTACCAAAAGCTATTTGTTCACCCCACAAGCTATCTTTTCTATAAATGTTATATCTACATGTAAAATACTGTCCTCAATCTTTTTTCTATAAAACTGTCATTTATTTCTACAAACGTCCAATCTAAAAGTTTCTTTTTCTGAATAAAATGACTAAAATATTTGGATATTTAAATAATTTATTTCTGTAAACACTAAATCAACAAGATTAAATTGTTTCAATCGTAAATATGTTAAAGCTATAAAAATTAACATGAAAACGAATGCTTACCTGCAACAAGATTCTTAGTAAGTAATTCTTGCCAAAATCCAGACTTCATTTTTCCCTTCCGAGCCTGCTTTTCCCTTCTTGTTTTTGCTAGTTGACATTGTCATAATAGATGATATAGTTATAAATAATTATATAATTGAAAAGCGTCTATATATAATAAAAGATTAAATATTATATGATTGAATGCAAAACAAATTAGTAAATGCCTGTAAGCATATAATTAGTTATAATTATACAAACAAGACTTATGATGTAATCTATAAACTGCTTCACATTGCATTTCTCTCTGATACAACCTTTGTAAGGCAATTATTAGAGTATTTTCACTGTTTTTTGTGTTTTCTTTTTCGTTCATAAAGACAGATATTCAGCGTTTTGTTTTCATGAAAATAGGTCACCGTTTTCTGTAAACAAGAGGGCTATGATGGCCCTGATGTCGCTCACCAGTATAAAAGCCCCCCCCCCCCGGGACGGGGCCAATTTCAACCCCAGGGCTTTTATTTGAACAAACTTGGTAGACACCCATTAGAAGATGTTTCATGCTAAATATCTTAGCTCCAGCTCTTTGAGTTTTTTTAAAAGAAGATTTTGAGTTTTAACTACACACATATAGGGAAAACAATGACACCCCCGCCGGTCCAATTTTTACCCCAGGGTTTTTATTTGAACAAACTTGGTAAACACGCACTTGATGGTGTTTCATGATTAGTATCTAAACTCTAGCTTTTTGGGTTTTTTAAAAGAAGATTTTTTAAGATTTTACTATACACATATAATAGGAAAATCAATGATCCCATCCCGGCGGGGCCAATTTTAATCCAAGGGCTTTTATTTGAACAAACTTGGTAGACACTCATTAGAAGATGTTTCATGCTAAACATCTTAGCTCTAGCTCTAGGATTTTTTCAAAAGAAGATTTTTTAAGTTTTTACTATACATATATAGTTAAAAAAATGAAACCCCTGGGGCGGCGCCAATTTTGACCCCAGGGCTTTTATTTTTGAACAAACTTTGTAGACACTCACTAGAAGATGTTTCATGCTTAATATCTAAACTGTAGCTATTTGAGTTTTTTAAAAGAAGATTTTTTAATTTTTTGGTTTACATATATAAGGAAAATCAATGACCCCGGGCGGAGCCAATTTTGACCCCATGGCTCTTTTTTGTACAAACTTGGTAGACACCCATTAGAACATGTTTCATGCTAAATATCTTAGCTCTAGCTCTTTGGGTTCTTTAAAAGAAGATTGATTTTTTACTATAAGTATTTACTATATGCATGTAGGGAAAATCAAAGACCCCCTTGGGCGGGCCAATTTTGACGTTAGGGCTTTTATTTGAACAAACTTGGTAGACACTCACTAGAAGATGTTTCATGCCAAATACCTAAGTTCTAGCTCTTTTGGTTTTTTAAAAGAAGGTATTTAAAGTTTTTATTTTTCTTTTGGTTGCCATGGCAACCAGAGGTCTGCATGGAATTAAATTATTTGAACAATTTTTAAAGGTGACCATCAAAGGAACATTTCTGTGAAGTTTGGCTTAGTAGTTAATGAGGAGATGTCATTTAAAGTAAAAGTTTTACTTACGGACGAACGGACGGACAGACGCCAGACGAAAATCGATTACAAAAGCTCACCCTTTCACTTTTTGACAGGTGAGCTAAAAACTGATTTTTTGTCCGCCAAAGTTAGCTTAGATATAACTTGACGTCATGTCCGGTTATTTTTTCTGTAGAAACGTTAGCGAATTGTAAATATTAAAGTCAAATTAGAATTGGTCTATTTTTGTTTGCGTTTTAAAGTTTATTTTGGAATATTAGGAATATAACGTTCTCGTAAGTAAGCAGAAGAAATTTTAATCCGGCATTTTGAAAAGCCAAATAAAAGCCCGGAAAACCCGTATAAAATGCGCAAGTACTTGAGCTATCGACCAATCCTGTAAAGTTACATTGAAATAGCATAAGTTGTATGAGAGGAGTAGTCCGTGCAAATTTTAAAAATTAAAATAGTTAAAGGGCCATGTAACACCGCACTTTGGGGTCAAACGCACTTTTGGGTCCAACCCCAAAGTGCGTTAAACTTCGCACCGCACTTTGGGGTTCAACGCACTTTGGGGTCAAAATCGAGAAATTGACCCCAAAGTGCGTTAATATGCTACATATCAACGCACTTTGGGTTCCAGAGGTCTAAAGGTGTCATCTGAGTTCTGCTTAAATACGGAGTACTGACTTATTTTCGATCTGCGACATTGAAATATTTGAGGTGGAGTTCAAGATGACGGTCAATACTTTATGCTTATCTAAAAATTGTGTTCATATAACAAAATTACGGTGGCATAAAAGTGACATTTGCATTTTTTTGTTTTTAGTTTTGTATACATATATTATTTTAGTTTTGCATACATATTTTTTACAGTTTTGCATACATATTTTTTTTTAGTTTTGCATTCATATTTTATTTTTGTTTTTCGTACATATTTTATTTTTGTTTTCCGTACATATTTTAGCCCATCAAAACAGCCTTCATATCTCATAACAGCCCATAGTTGAGTATAAAAGTAGCACAGTGATTTGGTCACATTTCGGCCCATTTTTGGAATCGGCCCAATTGTTTTGGGCCGGGCAAGTCTGGTTTCGGCCGACCCTTTTCGGCCCATTTTTTAAAATATATGTATTTAATATAATTTTTTTTAAAATTATTTTATACTATTATATAAGTGTCTATTTGGAAAGTGCTGTTGATTGGTGATCAGTTATTTTTCCATGAATATGCACCACTCAACCCCACCCCCTGAGAATAGCGGGGGGAGGGGGGCATTGACTTTTAACCAAGCCGACCACTGGTAAAATCTTCGCCCTGCGGGGGATACTCAGATAATAACATTCCTGCCTTATGCCCCAGAACAGCGCAAATGTCAAAACATGATTCTTTTTAACCCGCACTCCCATGGGGGCAAAGGAGGTGGTTACAAATGACTGGTGTATTACAATTATGCACAATAAAAGATCTAAATAGGTCCTTATATTTTACTGATTTAGAAAAAATGCTTAAAGCTTTGAGGGATTTTTATAAAACTTGGGTCAATTCTTTAGCACATCCAGATAATGTGCAGAACTTATATGCCAGGTGTGCCGGCTCGAAGTCGGGGTCACACCTACAGGTCAAAGGATAAAGACTTGGGTTTCATGTCCGCTCCTTATCTCCTAAACCCCATGAAGGATTTTAAGGCACCTTGTGTCAAATGTTAACCACATCGAGACCATATGCAAAATATATATACTAAAAAGTGTTGTTATTTTTTTGCTACATCCAAAAATGAAAATGTTGGTATTTGCAAATGGGGTCTGTAATTTACAGATGGCGAAGTGTTTGAAAATGCTGTTTTACAAATGGCGTAATTATCCAAACATCTACTTTGCAAATGGCGTCATGTAAAAAATATGTACGAAAAAAACAAAAATAAAATATGTACAAAAAAATAAAATAAAATATGTATGCAAACTAAAAAAGAATATGTATGCAAAACTTTAATAAAATATGTATGCAAACTAAAAAAGAATATGTATGCAAAACTAAAAAAAAGTATGTATTCAAAACTAAAAAAAAAATGTACGACAAACGAACAAAAAATGTGTACGAAAAACAAAAAACAAGTATTAAAAAAATGCAAATGTCACTTTTATGCCAAATAATACTTGTATTTGTAAGCTCCGTAACAACCGTTCGCCAGAGGCTTTTATGGGAAATTTTACATACTTCTTTAGAAAGAGCAAACATGAATTTTATAATGTTAAAATGATAGTATCGGAGAAATGTAAGATGCTTGTTACCTGAATAAAGTAGCGATAAATGTGAAATTATTTGTCATAAAAGTAGTCAAAACACTGTACGGTACTAATTCACTATAACTGTACTCATCATTGCCAAAAAGCAACAGATGAAAAAGATGGTTCAAATAATTGGCCAATGTGTATTTTTTGGATAATATAGAAGAACATCAAAATTAAAAAACTTTTAAGAAAAACAAATAAAAGAATAATGGGCCTTTAAACCGTTATTTTTAACCCTCGGGGGATCGATACCCAACAATCCCCTCTATACCCCCAGTGAGAATTTTACATTATTCTGAAGCTCCGTTCTTAATGTGCGACTACTTAAATAGTTGATATTTTTAGTACTGCCTGTACGGACTACTACTTAAAGCCGCATCTACACCTAGTCAAGTTTCTTATATGTCACATTTAGCTAAATAAATGGCTCTTTCAACATATTATCAGGCACATTTTTTACTGAAATGTGTTACTAAGATTTCCCAGAATTTATACCTTTGTCTATGCTAAGACTATCATATTTCTATAAAATGTGTAAATAAAAAACGGGAAAATAATGCATTTAGCTAAAAACAATGGAGTTAATGAAAGGTGTACATTCATTTAAAATAAATGGAAAATTTGAGAAAAAATTTTTTAAGCTTAATAATTGATACAAATTCTTTATTTGGTGATTTATTTGGTGAAAGTTCTTCACTTACTAATCACCTATTGATTCTACTATAATTTTCAGGGCACATGTTTTGTGTCTATTTAATACATTGATTTTTTGTTTACCATTGGCTTTGACTACAATATATTATCTAAAACATAACGAACATTAATTTTCTATGACCCCAAAGTGCGGTCGTTTGCCTGATATTAAAAAATGCATATGTACCTGTTTAACGCACTTTGGGGTCGAAATTGGACCCCAAAGTGCGTAACGCACTCTGGGGTCGGACCCCAAAGTACGTAACGCACTTTGGGGTCGGACCCCAAAGTGCGTTTGACCCCAAAGTGCGGTGTTACAGGGCCACTCTGACAAAAATCATTGAATCGAAAAATGTTGAGGAGATGCACAACTAGACATGGTATTGATTTTTGATGAAATTGCACCAGTAGTTTTTGCGGAGTAGTCCAAACAAGCTTCTGTGTTGCTAGCAACACAAAACAAGAGCCGGTTGAACCGGGTGATGCTCCACGAATAGGTTTTGGACACAGAAAAGTAAAGCTCTTGTAGTTTCAGGGTTACGTCCAGGACAAAGTTCCCAAAGCAGAGTTACTGTTCTTTGCACTGCACTTCTGCCCACTGAAATCTATCTTCTGTCTAAGTTTTCTCTTGATATCTCTTGTAGTCTTACAGTAATGTCCCAGACAAAGTTCACAGTGTAAAATTGAAAAAGGGCAATAACTCCAAAAATAGGTAAGGCAGGCAGAGTTGCGGTTACTTTGTATTGCATATCTACGCAATGAGATCTATTTACCAACAAAGTTTCATGTTGATTTTTTCTATAGTATCATAGGTACGTCCCGAACAAAGTTCAAAGTGAAAAATGAACAAAGGGCAATAACTCAAAAATCAGGCAAGGCAAAGTCACGGCTCTTTAGCACTGCTCATTCACCCAATAAGATCTATCTATCTACAAAGTTTGATGTTCATATCTGTTATAGTGTCAGCGTTATGTTCCGAACAAAGTTCAAAGTGTACAAATGAACAAAGGGCAATAACTCCAAAAATATGCAAGGCAGAGTTATAGTTCTTTTGAACTGCACATCTGACAAATGAGATCTATCTACCTACAAATTGTCTCTTATACTTACACAGCTATGTCCTGGACAATGTCTAAAGTGTAAAAATGAACAAAGGACAATAACTCCAAACTGAAGCAAGGCAGAGTAATGGTTCTTTTGCACATCAATTTAATGAGATCTATCTACCTACAAAGTTTCATAGTGATAATTTTTATACTTTCAGAGTTATGTCCCGGACAAAGTTCAAAATGTAAAAATGAACAAAGTGCAATAACTCCAAAATTAGGCAAGACAGAGGAATGGTTCTTTTGCACTGCACTTCTATTTAATGACATCTATCTACCTCCAAGGTTCTTGTTGATAGTCTTATGATTTCAGAGTTATGTCCCGGACAAAGTTCAAAGTGTACAAATGAACAAAGGGCAATAACTTCAAAATCAGACAAGGCAGAATTATGGTTCTTTTGCATTGCACTTCTACTCAATGGGATCTGTCTACCTACAAAGTTTGATGTTGATATCTCTTATAGTTTCAGAGTTATGTCCCAGACAAAGTTCAAAGTGTACAAATGAACAAAGGGCAATTATTCCAAAATTAGGCAAGGCAGAGTTACGGTTCTTGTGCACTGCTGATCCATCTACCTTCAAAATTTCATGTTGATATCTCTTATTGTTTCAGAGTTATGTCCCGGACAAAGTTCAGTGTAAACTAGAAATGTGTCCATAGGACACGGATGCCCCCACACGCCACTGTTCTGTCAATTTTATGACTCTAGGTCAAATATTTTTTGGACTACATGTGCCACAAGTTGAAAACTAAAAATCAACAAAGGGCCATAATTCTGTTAAATTTGGTCGCAGCAAAGATTCCTTCCTTTACTACCATCTTCACATTAAGGTTGTCCATCCCTGTAAGTTTAAGCAAAATCTGCCATCCGGTTTAAGAGGAGTTGCGTTCACAAAATTTCTACATAGTATCTAGTGAAAAAATCAACAAAGGGCCATAATTCTGTTAAATTGGGTCGCAGCGAAAATTCCTTCCTTTACTACCATCTACACATTAAGGTTGTTCATCCCTGTAAGTTTAAGCAAAATCTGTCATCCGGTTTAAGAGGAGTTGCGTTCACAAGATTTCGGGACGGACGGACTGACGGACGGACGGACGGACAAGTGCAACGCTATATGCTCCCACATTGTGGGGGCATAAAAATGAACAAAGGGCAATAAACTCCAAAATTAGGAGAGACAGAGTTACAATTCTTGTGCACTGCACATATACCCAATGAGATCTACCTACAAAGTTTCATGTTGATACCTTTTGATGTTTCAGAGTTATGTCCCGGACAAGAAAAGCGGATAAAGCCGCGACTATATGCTCACCCATCGGGGGAAAAAAAACACTTTTTATTGAAGTGCTATAATTCAGCCAAAAAACATTCAAGCGGAAAACCTGTAGATTTTGTTCAAGAACTTGAGCTACCAATCAATTTTGTAAAGTCTCATTGAAATTGTATAGGTGGTTTGAGTAGTAGTCCGGACAAACTTTATTAACACCCTTTTATTGAAGGACCATAACTCGGCCAAAACCATTCAAACGGAAAACCCATGTAATATTCACAAGTACTTGAACTACCAATCAATTATGAAAAGTTTCATTGAAATTGTACTAGTGGTGTAGTCAGGACAATCTTTAAAAGTAACAAGAAATGTGGAACGACATATATGCCCCCCATTCTAGCCCTTTACTTACATTATTGGTAATTTTGTTATAGAAACTTGCCATAAATAGTTCAGTTAAGGGAAAAAGAAAAAAAACCTACTAGTTATAATCAATCAAGAACTTATGAGCCCATTATGACTAATAAATATGTGAAATATAAAGACTTTGTGATAAAAAGTTTTCAAGGTAATAAGCAGAAACCATATTAACATTTAAGGCCCCTGTGACCTTAACCTTTAAACAAGTGATCCCAAAATCAATAGGGGTCATCTACTACATATGGCTATTCAATAAGTGAAATATGAAGACTTTGTGATAAATAGTTTTCATGATAATGAGCGAAAACCATTCTGGCATTCAAGGCCCCTGTGACCTTAACCTTTGACATAGTGATCCTTATATCAATAGGGCACATCTACTAGTAATGACCAATATCAATATGTGAATTTAAATAGTTTGTCAAGATAATAAACGGAGACCATTCTGACATTTAAGGCACCTGTGACCTTTAACTTAGTTACCCTAAAATCAATAGGGGTTATCTAATAGTTATAAACAATCAAAATGAGAAATATGAAGACTTTGTGATAAATAGTTTTCAAGATACTTAGCGGAAACCATTTTGACATTTGAGCCCGGTGACCTTGATCTTTGAGCTGGTTACCAAAAAATCAGTAGTGGTCATCTACTTGTTATGACCAATCACTATGTGAATTATGAAGACTTTATGATAAATAGCTTTCAAGATAATGAGCGGAAACCATAATAACATTCAAGGCCCCTGTGACCTTGACCTTTGACCTCGTGACCCAAAAATCAATAGAGGTCATCTACAAGTTATGACCAATCAGAATGTGACATATGAAGATTTTGTGATGAATAGTATCGAAGATAATTATCGGAAACAATTCTGACATTTAAGGCCCCTGTGACCTTAATCTTTGACCTAGTGATGTCAAAATCAATAGGGGTCATCTACTAATCATGACCAATCACTGTGTAAAATATGAAGACTTTGTCATGAATAGTTTTCAAGACAATCAGCGGAAACCATTCTGACATTTAAGGCCCCTGTGACCTTGACCTTTGACCAAGTAACCCCAAAATCAATAGTAGCCATCTTCTAGTTATGACCAATCAGTATGTGAAATATGAAGACTTTCTGATACATATTTTTAAGGTTATCAGCGGAAACCATGTGGTCTACCGACGGACAGACCGACCGACCGACCGACCGACCGACTTTAGCAAAACAATATACCCCCTCTTCTTCGAAGGGGGGGGGGGGCATAAAATAATTAAAGGGCTATAACTCTGACAAAAACATTGAACCAGAAAAATCCGATAATATGCACAACTAGATTTAGTACTGATTTTTTTGTAATGTTTTAAAGAAATCCGGACAAGATGCTATGTAGCTGGCAACACACAAAAACACCTTTTCTATTCAAGGGCCATAACTCGGCCAAAAACAATTCGACCGGATAACCCGTTTATTATGCGCAAGTACTTGAGCTACAGATTAATCCTGTAAAGTTTCATTGAAATTGCTTAAGTGGTATAAGAGTAGTAGTCCGGACGAACTTTAAAAATTAAAAAATCATGAAAGGGCCTTAACTCTGACAAAAAACATTGAATCGCAAAATGTCGACGATATGCACAACAAGACTTGGTACGAATCATTCCTGTAATGTTTGGATGAAATTGCATCAGTTGTTTTTGAGGATTAGTCGGGACAAGTTTTGTGACCGACGGAGAGACGGAAAGAGAGACGACGGAGAGGTGATCCCCATATGTCGCCACTACTATGTAGAGGCGACACACAAATATAATAAAAAAATTATGATATGAATATATATTTGTATTAGCATCAAGAAAGCTATCCAAATTTTTCACCACATAACATGCAAATCTAAAGTCAATCCCTTCAGTAACAAAGATGTTGAGACTAAGTGCAAAAACTACATAATATTTTAAAGCAATATGCTAAGTTAAAAGAGGAGATACAGTAATTAATTGCGTAATATGTTTTTGTGAAATGAAGTGTTATTCATAACAAAGTTACCAAATTGACATTGCAGGTAGAGACAAAGGTCTTGGACACATGACAAAGCTACAGTCCGGACACGTCATGTGTTCCCTCAAACTGGGCCTTTTGGGTAGACATAGTCCTTAGACGCGACACATCATCATGATGTGGTGGACATTTGTGCCAAGTTATTTTAAAGTCCTTTAATGCATGACAAAGTTAAAGTCCAAACACGGAAGTGTACCTACAAATTCTTCTTGTGAGAATGAGTACATTCAAACTGTGTGGCCTTGACCTTGAAGGTAGGAACAATGGTCTTAGACGCGACACGTCGTCTTGTTGACATATATTATGCTAGGTAATTTAAGAATCTTTCCGTGCATGACAAAGTTACAGTCCGAATAAGAAACCTATATTTTTACATATTGAAATTGAGTGTTATCATTCATACAATCGTTGTTGTTAAATCAACCATGTACAAATACGTCAATTAAAACTAACACGAAACAAGTTTTATGATTAAGCTTGTTAAACTATTAACCAAAGCTATAAAAATGGCGTTAGATAAAAGTATAGCAGTTGCATACATGTTGCATTTACTTTTGAAACTATAATGTCATTAATTCTCTGATATTTCAAAATCATGTGATTCTGCTCTGAGTGCATGCATGTGTGTTGGGGCAGGGTAAAATACCTTTTCTGCACTTCTTCCCTTTTAAGCTTGTATTACAAACGCAGCTGCCTGTTACGTGGTCACAATCAAAATTCTTTCCGCATGTACATACACCGCGGCATTCAGGTCCAAATGTCCCAGGTAAACAAGCTGTAAGGTGCATGTTTGAATGTATAATATCGTGTTAGAGAAGGTGTTAGAACTATAATATTCCGTATATTTCACAAACGAATTCATTTCTGAAACCACTACTTTATCCAATCTACAACGATCTTGCACTGGCTGCGGAACAAAGAGGATTATTAAAATGACTCAAGATCTAGTAGCTGTTCAAAGCGGTTATGAGGTTTGCCGACTTACTTCTAAACATTTACCAGAGAGTCGGATATAACGATCTGTGGCGTCAGCCAATGTTTTCTTCTTCTGGTCTTGTATATTACATTGCGATTTTAGTTCGTGAAAAAACACAGACAAAAACTCTCATACCTTTTAAAATTATTTAGCATGTTTTAATTTTCATATCTTATTACATTAAACGAAATAACAACCAATTAAAAAATAATATTTAGCCTATTATATAAATAGGCAAATCTAATTCACCTTAGGATGATAGTAGAATCTACATAGAGGTAAACCGTCGAATGTAATGTTTACCACGGTAGACGTTATAAGTATAATGTAATCAAAGGATCTGATAATTATTCACTTATAGGCCTACCGTAATCAACATAATCTGGCAATAACAGTAAGAAAATACACATGACTCACTTGACAAGAGTGCAGCGTCTGGAAGAAACGCGATAAGACAATTTGTAATTTACGGATGTCTACTGAGATATTTTTACTGAGATCTTAGAATTAAAAACTGACGAGTTGAATATATCATAGAAGGTAAATCAGTTGGCTCCACCTATGGAAGGCGGTGAAAGATACATTGTTATTTCAGACTTGATTATTATGGTAAACTTGGTGATGGTTGCTGAATTTCATTGTATTGTTTGATTAAAAACCTTTTATAAGACAGCTTCAAATTTATAAGACATAAGTCTTTTTAGATCGAATTTTTAATGTCTAAGTTCTAAATTAGGGTAGCAATTCATGTCATTAGAGTAACAAATTTATTTAAATGTTTATATATCTGCTTCTGTTTCTCTCTTTCCGTTGCCGTACCCCCCATAAAACAACAAAAACAACGAAAATGTTAAGCTAGATTCATGAAACATATTTGATATATATATCTGAAATATGATTGCAATTTTTGTTATATTTTTCATTTGTTATTGTTATATTTTTTTCATTTGTTATTGTTATATTTTTCATTTGTTATTGTTATATTTTTTTCATTTGTTATTGTTATATTTTTCATTTGTTTTTGTTATATTTTTCATTTGTCATTGTTATATTTTTCATTTGTTATTGGAATATCATTTAGTGTTGTTGCTGTGATATAGGAGATAGTGATGCATGCAAACTCGTGTGATTTATTTTTCAGTATTTTGTTGAGTCTTTGATGCATAAGCATTTCATCTAACTTTTTTCCAAGCTGGAAGTAAACTATTTTCGGCGAATTTGATAAGCGTCTATTTGATGCAGAATTGTAATTTCTCAAAGTTTTTAAATGATGCATATATATGTAGCAATTCAAGTAACCAAAGTGTAATAATAATTGGAAATACATACATTGTTCGCATGATGGCCCAAAGTATCCAGGTGGGCATTTACATTGTCCCGTCACGTGAAAGCAAGGTTCATCCTCAGAACACATGCACGTCTGGTCGCATTGGTCACCAAAAGTGCCGGGTAAACATGCTGAAAATGAAAAGTACTATACAGTAAATTATATAGGAAACAAGGGCTGTCAGGAGGACAGCACGCCCTACACTATATAGTTAGTGCTTGATAGTAAAACAAGAGCCCGGATAAGGCAGAAATTAACAAAAATGAATATTTCATTCAAAATTACATGCCATAGGCGTCAAGAGATTTTTTTAGTGCACAGATGGCTATATTTCATTCAAATGCCATGCCAAGAGTTATAGCCGTTGTGACCTTCAATTATAATCCTAAATACATGTACATTCATGTATAACGTTTCATTTTGATACCTTTAGCAGTTTTGAAGATTGATATTGCACAAAAGGCCAAATTTAATTCGAAATCCATGCCTTGAGTTCAGACTGTATTAAGTTTCAAGTGAATACATTCAGATGTTCTGATGATCGATGTACATGTAGAATCGAGAATTGTTTAAAGTTCACAAAGGGTCTTAATTCAGTCAAAAACCAAGTATGCGTTATAGGCTTTGGAAAGTGAATATGTAATGATCACACGACGTTGTAATTTTCTAGTGTCGACTTTCAGTAGTTATGAAGATTAAGATTGTATGTAATATTTTAACTATTCATTATTTATGATGAAACAGATACACAAATATTAAACTCTGATCAGTGAGCAGTCTTTCAATGTTAACATAATACATGTAGATACCACTGTTTATATCGTCATCACCATTCTGCACGGCCTTTCATCTTTCCTATAGTGATTTTTTTCTAAAACTATTTCAACTTAAAATTCGTTTATTCTATTTAAAGCTGCACACCTCCAGATGAGTCAAATTTTTTTTAAGAAAATCAATATTGAGAAAAATGTAGTAAAAATTTAAGAAAGGTAAAAATATTGAAGATCCAAATTATATTTTACATGTTATGTGCGGTTTAAGACTGATTTTGCAGTATTTTATCACCATATTTCTACTGCGTTACTAACGCAGTAAGGGCTGTTTTTGCATATGTTGACCACTTTTTGGTAATTTTCTTGGATTGTAAGTGCCGATTGCAATATGTAAATTACTTTATTTGTTCACCTCACAGTATTTTACTTTTAAATACATTTCCAAAATTTTCATGAAAATTAACATGAATCTGGAGGCGTGCTGCTTTAATGCCATAGTTTCAACTAAATATGAAATTTAATCGGATAAAATGAACTTTTAGAATTAAACAAGAGCATACCGTGCTAACGCTGTCTGTTAAGTGCAACCAATTTTGACAAAAATCTAAGTTAAAGAGGGTCAAAGAAATGGTTTAAGAATTATGCCTCTTGTCTAAGCAAGTATTCCAAGTTTCATTATAACTTAAAAATGATTGAATAATAGGCTACATTAATGTTTTTGCACCACGACAACGACGACGAAGAGCCCGACATTTTCTTAAAAGCAGACGATATGAAATGTGAACCAGCATTGATCACATAAACCATTATCACAATTGACGACTCAATGAACTACGCCTTACAGACACAGTATTGAATATGATTCGCATCGCGCCTAATCAAAATGCAGTCACTTTGCACGGATAAATATTATTTTTCTTGAGTGACTGCTCTTTTTACAATACAGGTGAATGTATGTTATAAATAACTCACGTTTGTTACAACGTTTTCCCCTCCAGCCTGGTCTGCATATACAATTTCCGGAGTCATGCTTGCATGTTGCATTATTGGCACAGTCACACATCTCAAAACAATTCAAGCCATGGAATCCTTGCTCACAAACTATTTACATAAAACAGTAAAAGTGAAGTCATAATTTCAATCAAACTGAATTCACTTAAACTAATAAGTAATATATTGAAACTTCTGCTTATTGTAAAATAATCAAGATTAACTAGAACTACCACTGTCATGGCGTGAATACCCCCGCATACCACTTTGTCAGAATCAACAGTAGCCATTTAGAGCTCAAGGACAACCTCCCTGCCAAATCTGAGGTTACTAAGCCAGTGCATTGCAAGCTATGTATTCTACATGCTTTAAATGTGAAATGTCAAAATCAATACACTGCGGACAGGCATTCTTAAGCAATTTAGGGGAAAAACTTTTTTTAGTCAAGGTACCTGTGACCCTGACCTTTGACCCAGTGACCTCAAAATCAATAGAGGTCATCTACTAATCATGACTAACCTCAATGCCAAATATGAAGACTGTGGATCAAAGAAATTTTAAGTTATTGGACAGACAAGCTTTTTATAGTCAAGGCCCCTGTGACCTTGACCTTTGACTCAGTGTCCTCAAAATCGATAGGGGTCATCTACTAATCGTGACTAACCACCATGCCAAATATGAAAACGGTGGGTCAAAGGTTTCTTACGAAATTGGGCGGACAAACTTTTTGAAGTCAAAGTCCCTGTGACCTTGACCTTTGACCCAGTGACCTCAAAATCAATAGGGGTCATCTACTAATCATTACTTACCTTCATGCCAAATATGAAGACTATGGGTCAAAGGAATCTTAAGGTATTGAGCAGACAAGCTTTTTATAATCAAGGCCCCTGTGACCTTGACCTTTTACCCAGTGACCTCAAAAACAATAGGGGTCATCCACTAATCATGACTAAAATCTATGCCAAATATGAAGACTGTTGGTCAAAGGTTTCTTAAGTTATTGGGTTGACAAACTTGTTGAAGACAAAGTCCTTGTGACCTTGACCTTTGACCTAATGTTCTCAAAATCAATAGGGGCCATCTACTACTCATGACTAACCTCCATGCCAAATATGAAGACTGTGAGTCAAAGGTTTCTTATGTTATTGGGCGGACAAGCTTTTTTTAGTCAAGGCCCCTGTGACCTTGACCTTTGTCCCAGTGACCTCAAAATCATGCCTCCATGCCAAATATGAAGACTGTGGGTCAAAGGTTTCTTAAGTTATTGTGTTGACAACTTTTTTGAAGTCAAAGTCCTTGTGATCTTGACCTTTGACTCAATGACCTCAAAATCAATAGGGGCCATCTACTAGTCATGACTAACCTCTTTGCTAAATATGAATACTGTGGGTCAAAGAAATCTTAAGTTATTAAGCGGACAAGGAAAAACCGACGGACGTCCGGACGGACAAGCTTATTCCAGTATACCTCCCTTACAACTTTGTTGTGCGGGGTATAATAATCTCTATTTAACATGGGCGGGTCCCCTCGGGACGGATATTCCGATCCGAACCGCAAACATATGTTAGATATTTTTTTTGCATATTATACCATATTTCAAATTCTTTACCTCAATAAAACAATATTTCCATGGACATCTATGTCATTACACCCGTAACCATTTGCTTAAAATTACAACTTCATTCATAGTAGTCATCGGTTTTAATGATCTGTACAGTATAGCATTTGTACATAACTCCATGTACAACTGATATCCTACACTCAAGCTTTTTAATGGTTGTTAAAGAAATTATTGTAAGTATAAATATATGACTATAAAGGCCTTCTCTGACAGCTCTTATAATCTGCCATGACCTTCATTTAACATTTGTATAATAACATAAATAATGGTCATATTTTAAATGAACGTAAATATGAATCATTCATCGATAACATTATATATAATGTAAAATTGACATACTTTCATCACAATTATCACCATGGTAACCAGGTAAACAATTACACCTGCCAGTCATCTTGTCACAAGATAAACTGTTTCTACAGCTACATGTCTCTACACAGTTACGTCCATATTTGCCTTCTGGACAAGCTAAATGCAGAAACAATAACTAAATAGAAATTACTCTACTATTAGTCATTTCTAAATAGAGTTTTTATTACATACTTTCAATTTTGTTCTGCAATCTGAAAAGTGTACTGCTGCATTGTTTATAAAGAGTAAAACATGTATAGTGTAGCTTTTTATCTGCTGCCTGTAGTGTTTGAATTTCAAAAAGGAATAATATTTAAAATACAAGTACTAGTATGACGGAAATGTTTGCATGCCCCAAATCATCGTTCTATTGTTTAAAGCTACTAAAATAACAGGTAATATTTTGTTCAGGATTTTTTTCTTCTGTTTTTATACATGTGTGTTAAATAACATAGATGTTAAATGGTACAAATTATACGAGAATAGACTTTAAGGCTAGGGAAACAACAAAATTTTCCGTTCATAATTTACAAAAATATTTTGTAACCTTTAATTTGAGTTAAAGAACAAGTCAAGATATACTTTCAGTTAATAAATACCTCCAGTTTGAATTTTCTACCCCTAGTTTTCCAAGGAAGAGGTTAAATTATCATATATGAATAATCTAGCGTTTTTTTGATTTACTAATCTTATATCATTTATATATCAAGTGTAAAATAATTCCTATCTCATAAGATTTGTTTGACAAGCCTTTAAAAATGTGTATTTTTTGTATCAAGAAGAAATTTGTGAAATACCAAAAGTGACTTTGTTTATCACATATTAATAATAATGTACGTGTATTACTACTATTACTATTTTAATTGCCGAAAGTTATAAATTATGAACTTTTTCAAAACTTACATTGTTCGCAAGCCATGCCCATGTATCCTGATGAACAATTACATTTTCCCGACATCCTATCACACGGGTGACCATTACAGAAACATCTATACAAACAGTTCACACCATAAAGACCAACTTCACATTCTGAAATGTATATAATTCTAAACAAATATTGTACACATACGCTGAAATCTAACAAGAAGGCCAAGATGGCCCTAGATCGCTCACCTGACCAATCAAACTCATCAATAGTGGCGGCGTGGCCGAGTGGTTAACGCGTCGGACTAGTAATCTAAGGATTGCTAACCGCGTGGTTCAAACCCTGTCAGGGGCAAGCCGTTGTTTCCTTGAGCAAGAAACTTTACATTCATTGCTTAGTACTGGTTGGTTCCAGGAACGGATTCGAGATTGTTTCAATAAGCTCATAGCTTCCAACACAATCGAACTAAAATAAATTTGTATAAACCAAACTCATCCAAGCAATTACTTTGGCAAGCATCCTGACCAAGATTGATGACAATTGAGTCAAAATTGTGACCACTAGAGTGTTAACAAGGTTTTTCCATATTTGGGCAGTGTGACCCAGTTTTTGACCCCAGGTGACCCATAATTCCAATTCCAAAGTTTGATGATGATTGAGGCAAAAATGTGACCGCTAGAGTGTTAACGAACAAATGTGGACGGACGACGGACATTCAACGATCCTAAAAGCTTGCTTTGAGCAAGCTCAGGTTATCTAAAAAAGCTGTTGCTCATTAATTTTTTTTATTTTTCTAATTTCTTTTTTTTCTCATCTAACTTTGTAGTCTACTAAAATTAAACAAACATTATAAACTTTACATCGCAATTCTATCAATTTCTGTATTTCTTTATTAATATTCAATTAGAAAAGCTCGACATTTTTTTTCAATATCAAACCTTCTTCACAAAGACCTCCTCGCCAACCTGGGGGACAAACGCATACACCTGTAATTGGGTCACATGTGCCGCCATTCATACATTCGCATGTTCTTTCACATTCCTTGCCATATTGACCCTGAAATAATTTTAATTAAGTCGTTCCAACATGTGTTTTTCCTGACAACTTTCAGTTCATTATAAGTAAAATCAACATTGAGTTTTAACTCAAGCTTTTATGAACGTCATATAAAGATCTACCAGTTAATTATATGATTCTTGTTTAATCACTCGGAAATCTGATTATCGTTGTTTTTATCGTCTTTTATTGAGTTGATATTATAACATGCAGTCATGTCTGTCTAAAGTCTCTTAAATCTTATAGAGTAATATTTGTCTAAAATCGCATAACTGTTATTATATACAGTGATTTATGTTTAATTTAATAATTGTGATGGAATTCTGTCACAATGATTTTATATATCTTACTGTTGCATTGTTAAAATCTTATTTTTATGACACACTGTCTTTTCTGTTTATATTCTCATTAGTGTTGCTGTAGTAAAATCTGCCATTTTATCTATATGATTATCACTATTCTAATATTTCATAATTGTTATTATATACAGTCACGTCGTCTAACATTTCATAATTGTTATGATATACACTCACAATATCTAATATTTCATAATCGTTATCATATACAGTCACGCCGTGCAATATTTCATAATCGTTATCTAATACAGGAACGTTGTCTTATATTTTATAATCGTTATCATATTCTGTAACTTTGTCTATTATTTCATAATCGTTATCATATACAGTCACATGGTTTATATTTCATAATCGTTATCATATACAGTCACGTTGTCTAATATTTCATAATCGTTATTATATACAGTCACGTTGTCTAATATTTCATAATCGTTATTATATACAGTCACGTTGTCTATTATTTCATAATCGTTATCATATACTGTCACGCCGTGTAATGTTTAATAATCTTTATCATATTCAGTAACTTTGTCTATTATTTCATAATCGTTATCATATACTGTCACGCCGTGTAATGTTTAATAATCGTTATCATATACAGTCACGTCGTCTAATATTTCATAATCGTTATCATATACAGTCACGTTGTCTTATATTTCATAATCGTTATCATATACAGTCACGTCATCTTATATTTCATAATCGTTATCATATACAGTCACGTCATCTTATATTTCATAATCGTTATCATATACAGTCACGCCGTCTAATATTTCATGATCGCTATTATATACAGTCACGGCATCTAATATACAAATACGTGGTGAATATGATGTGATATGCCCTTGAAAATAATATTGACCGAGGCCTTTTAGTTGTATTCCATCTAATTATTATTAAATCTATTTCTTTAAATATTATAAACAGAGACCTAATCAGTAATCGAAATTGATTAAATCGAATATAATTTTCCCAAGTAATCGATAACATTTGATTATAACTTCTAGAGTATATAAAACGTTTTACTAAACAAGAGGGCCATGATGGCCCTGAGGTCGCTCACCTGTATATAGGCCCCCCCCCCCCAACGTTGCAGGGCCAATTTAACCCAAGGGCTTTTATCTGCACAAAACTTGGTAGACACCCATAAGAAGATGTTTCATGCTAAACATCTAAGCTCTAGCTCATTGGGCTTTTTAAAAGAAGATTTTTTTTTAAGTGTTTACTATACACATATATTTAAAAACAATGACACCCCTGGGGCCGGGCTAGTTTTGACCCAGGGCTTTTATTTGAACAAACTTTGTAGACACTTACTAGAAGATGTTTCATGCTTAATATCTAAACTCTAGCTATTTGGGTTTTTTCAAAGAAGATTTTAAGTTTTTGCTATACACATATAAAGAAAATCAATGACCCCCGGGGCGGGGCCAATTTTGACCCCAGGTCTTTTATTTGAACAAACTTTGTAGACACTCACTAAAAGATGTTTCATGCTTAATATCTTAACTCTAGCTATTTGGGTTTTTTCAAAGAAGATTTTTTAAGTGTTTGCTATACACATATAAGGAAAATCAATGACCCCCGGGCGGTGCCAATTTTGACCCCAGGGCTTTTATTTGAACAAACTTGGTAGACACCTATTAGAACATGTTTGATGCTAAATATCTTAGCCATAGCTCTTTGAGTTCTTTAAAAGAAGATTTTTTAAGTTTTTACTATATGCATATAGGGAAAATCAATGACCCCCGGGGCGGGGCCAATTTTGACCCCAGGGCTTTTATTTGAACAAACTTGGTAGACACCTATAAGAACATGTTTCATGCTAAATATCTTAGCTCTAACTCTTTTGGTTCTTTAAAAGAAGATTTTTTAAGTTTTTACTATATGCATATAGGGAAAATCAATGACCCCCTGGGGCGGGGCCAATTTTGACCCCAGGGCTTTTATTTGAACAAACTTGGTAGACACCTATTAGAACATGTTTGATGCTCAATATCTTAGCCATAGCTCTTTGAGTTCTTTAAAAGAAGATTTTTTAAGTTTTTACTATATGCATATAGGTAAAATCAATGACCCCCCGGGGCGGGGCCAATTTTAACCCCAGGGCTTTTATTTGAACAAACTTGGTAGACACCCATTAGAACATGTTTCATGCTAAATATCTTAGCTCTAGCTCTTTGGGTTCTTTAAAAGAAGATTTTTAAAGTTTTTACTATATGCATATAGGGAAAATCAATGACCCCCGGGGCGGGGCCAATTTTGACCCCAGGGCTTTTATTTGAACAAACTTCGTAGACACTCACTAGAAGATGTTTCATGCCAAATATCTAAGCTCTAGCTCTTATGGTTTTTTAAAAGAAGATATTTAAAGTTTTTTCTTTTGGTTGCCGTGGCAACCAGAGTTCTGCATGGAATTAAATTCTTTGAACAATTTTTAAAGGTGACCACCAAAGGAACATTCCTGTGAAGTTTGGATGAAATTGGTTTAGTGGTTTATGAGGAGATGTCATTTAAAGTAAAAGTTTACGGACGGACGGACGGACGACGGACGGACGGACGCCGGACGAAAAGCGATCACAAAAGCTCACCCTGTCACTTTGTGACAGGTGAGCTAAAAATGGCGACATTCTATTTAAATTAAAAAGCAATTACATGTATAACAAATATTAATAATAATTTTATAACATGCTTTAATGGATAAAACAAGCCAATTCGTTGAATTTATATCCCCCGCCGAGTACTGGTTATTACTAACACAACAGCTGAAGACATAAGGCTTTATTTATATATTTATCATGGCATAAACAGTAATATTCTTTGAACTTGATAAATACTCAAGGCAATAACAGAGCCATAACTGTGTGTTAAATAGTAATATCTGGAAATGCCAATGAGATGTATGCATACTGCATAACTAATCAAGGGCCATAAATCTGAGTTATAAGTGTCTGACCGGAACAAGGCGACTATATGCACATCTCCTCTTCGTATCCCATAAAGTTTCATTGAATTCCAGCCAGTAGTTACAGAGAAGTAGCACGGAAACGATTATTGCTCTGGTTGTATACTGCATTAGTTATCAAGGGCCATAACTCTAAGTTAAAATGTCTGACCCGAACAAGGCGACGATATGCCCATCTCCTCTTGGTATTGAAGGTTCCAATAAAGTTTCATTGAATTCCAGTTAGTAGTTGCAGAGAAGTAACGCAGAAACGATTTTTGCTCTATATGCATACTGCATAACTAATCAAGGGCCATAACTCTGAGTTAAAGTGTCTGACCCCAACAAGGCAATAATATGCACATCTTCTCTTAGTATTGAAGGTTCCCATAAAGATTTGTTGAATTCAAGCCAGTAGTTGCAGAGAAGTAGTGCGGAAACGATTTTTGCTCTATATGCATACTGCATAACTAATCAAGAGCCATAACTCTGAGTAAAAGTGTCTGACCCGAACAAGGTGCCAATATGCGCATCTCCTCTTGGTATTGAAGGTTCCCATAAAGTTTTGTTGAATTCCAGCCAGTAGCTGCAGAGAAGTAGTGCGGAAATGATTTTTGCTCTATATGCATACTGCATAACTAATCAAGGGCCATAACTCTGTGTTAAAGCATCTGACCGGAACAAGGCGACGATATGCGCATCTACTCTTGGTATTGAAGGTTCCCATAAAGTTTCGTTGAATTCCAGCCAGTAGTTGCAGAGAAGTAGCGCGGAAACGATTCTTACTCTATATGCATACTGCATAACTGATCAAGGGCCATAACTCTGAGTTAAAGTGTCGGACCGGAACAAGCCGACGATTTGCGCATCTCCTCTTGATATTGATGATTCCCATAAAGTTTCGTTGAATTCCAGCCAGTAGTTGCAGAGAACTAGTCCGGAAACGAATTTCGGACGGACGGAAGGACGGACGGACAACGCCAAAACTATATCCCCCTCCCGATTCCATCGGTGGGGGATAATAAACTAAATTATCCTTAGTGACTTAACTGACAAAGCAATATTACAGAAAATGAATGTTTCAATCAAAACAAGTTACGTATATAATTGTACTGAAGATAACTTTTGCCAAATACAATGTAAATCGAAACTATTCAATTACATTTACACAGCTCTATCAATTTGCATTGTAATCGATTATCCTTCAGTTCCAGCTTATAAAGGGACATAATTCAAAAGAGCACTGAATGCGTACTGACTGCAACAATTTAGAAATAAAATTCAATGTTATGACTGTAATGCACTTCATTTCTCAGTAAGAATAATTATTTGTGACCGGCAATGTTCAAAATAAAAGATTTATTATTTACCATGTGTAAAGGAAAATAAACCTAGGAAAACTTATTAATGTTATATCCCTTGTCATACTGATGCCACCATAGCAATTATAACATGCTGCAAGCTCTGTCGTATTTTCTAATTTGCAATCTAAATCGTACTGTATATCTATATAAGTTTATTTTGATATACTATAATTCATTTTGCAGGGCATCGAATTGCAGCGAATGCGTTTAGATTTTTTGCTATATCAGTTTGAGTTTGATACATACGGAATTTTGCATGGCCAGAGTTTCTTACTTGCATTATGAAATCATTTATGTACATTTTTATGACAGCTACACTGCACAAGTTGCCTTGACTGGGAATTGAACCCCATTCCTCACTTGCTAAACGGCTAAACGTGCGTGTTGCACCTGGACCACGGGTAAGTTATAAAAAAAAGTCTGAAGCAAATCAAATGATTATGTTCGTGAAGTTGGCAGCCTAGCAGCCTGACGTTGGCAGCCTAGCAGCCTGAAGTTGACAGCCTAGCAGCCTCAAGAAAACTAAGAATAGTACAAACATGAAAACAGTCGAAAATACATTAGTAGCACTTCTTTAGATCAAACGCCTTTTTTCAATATCGTGATCTTTATTTTTTTTATTTTTTAAGATGTTGAACTTTATCTTAACAATTATTTCTTTCTGACGCTTCGAAATTTGTGAAGTAAGCAGCCTAGCAGGATAGTACAAACATGAAAACCGTCAGAAATGAATCGGTAGCACATACCTAGACCATTCCACGTCTTATTACAGTATCGCGATCTTTATTTTTTTAAATATTGAACTTTGTTTTTTTTTATTTTGACGCTAAATTGTTCTACCTATTTGGCAATGTTGGCAAATTGGGACATAACACCAGAAATAAAGCTTTCAGAATAATGGCTACAACAACGGCACAGCGATCTTGATAGCTAGTCCGTTTTGAAAAAAGGCTTCAATCCCCAGAGGCGTTAATGAAGTCTTCAAACGCAATCGTAAGAGATGTAGTCACATAAGGTTGTTATCACAACATCTAATTCATAGTTCTGATTAACTTTCCTAATTTAAGTAATAATAACCTTGACCTTGACTATAGGATTGGTTTTCACTTGATATATTTTCTGATTACATGTACATTATTCTATTCCTTACTCTAGTTATCTACATTTGATTACAGTGACCTAGACGTGAAGATACCCCCCAAAATAATCTACACTAAAACTTGCTATAAACCAAGTCTGATAATAATATCTCATTCCTTATTCCTATTTATCAACCTGAAACCGTTTATTTTTTATTCTTCAAAGCAGTGACATTGACTCTAGCGGGGCCGGATGCATCGAGATATCCTTATAAGCTTGTTATATACAAAGTTTGATTTCAAACTCAAGTATCCGACTCAGAACATTTTTTTTTCTATTTTAAGTAATAGTGACCTCGGTCCGGTCGATAACAATATCCCATTCCAAAGTCAATTTATCGACCTGTGTCATTTGCCATTTTCAAATTTAAACCTAGTTTAAAACTGAAATATTCTAAATGACGAAAATGTCACATGACAACTGATATATTACCTCTGGACATTTTTCTGTACAGGTTGGACCAGTAAAACCGGAAGCGCATTTACATTGCCCAGTCACGTGGTTACAGATGGCAGCATTAGCACAGTTGCATATACCTTGACAATCCTTGCCAAAAAATCCTATTGGACAACCTGAAAAAATATTATAATATTGCAAATCAATTTCTCAAATTATGATTGGTTGATTCTCTCTGTAACCTATTGCCCTCAAAGCGCCTCCATTGTCTTCGTAAGTATACGATAAGTAGTTTATCTAGCAACAAAAAAAGCGGACATTTTACTTGACCAGCATTTTTACTTTCATATCTGAACACAATGATATACACAAAATATGCCAGTTACACAAAATGGTGGACATACACGCATACAGTATACATCAATGTACATTGGGGATTTATACAAGTTTTCTAATTTGTGTTAAATCTCGAATATTTTGAATGCTTGACTGAGACGACTTATTACTTTTAAGAGGAATTTTTACTGACCATTTAGTGGTAAAATGATATTTATTTATTTTTCACATTACTACAATATGGATTTCTTGGGGTCAAAAACTAGTTTACCCATATTCGAAATTGACCTTGAAATCACAATACAAATTTTCAGACCAATTTCCAGGACAGTTTGATCAAAACAGTAGCCACTACAGTGTTAACAAGATTTTTCTTTTTTTTGCTTCTGTGACCTAGTTTTTCATCCGAAATGACCAATGTTGACATTCGAATCAATCACCTAGACAAGCATCCTAACAACATTTGATGATGATTGAAGCAAAAATGTGACCACTAGAGTGTTAACAAGGTTTTTCTTGATTTGGGCGGCGTGACCTAGTTTTTGACCCAAGGTGACCCATATTTAAACTTGACCTAGAAATCATTAAAACAAACTTTCAGACAAATTTCAAGGATATTTGGATCAAATCAGTAGCCACTAGATTGTTAACAAGATTTTTCTAATTTTAGCTCCTGTGACCTAGTTTTTTCTTCCGAGATGACCCATGTTCGAACTTATCTGAGCAATTACCTAGACAAGCATCATGACAAAGTGTGATGATGAGTGAGGCAAAAATGTGACCACCAGATTGTTAACGAACAAATGTGGACGGACGGCGGACATTCAACGATCCTAAAAGCACACCCTGAGCAAGCTCAGGTGAGCTAAAAATCTATTTTTTTCTTGATATGAATGCAAAGTTTACTTTATCTTATTAAAGGGAAAATGGAATGCACTGTAATGCCTATATATCTATGTAGTCAATGTTAAATGAGTGACCCTAAAGCAGATTTTACTCCAGAGCTTTTATTTGAACAAACTTGGTAGACACCCACTTAACATGTTTCATTCTAAATATCTAAACTGTAGCTCTTTCATTTTTTACAAACAGATTTTTTTCGTAAAAATAAGAAGGTACAACTACAAAATTGCGAAGACGATGCCCCGGAAATGTGCCAATTAAAGGCTTAAGAAAAATGATTATAATCATTCTAGAAAATGTAAGGAAGGAAATATTCTAAAAGTGTATTTTTGTGATGATAATTACTTAAGATTCAAATCATGCTAATCATTAAGATATTGATCTCTGGTGCTTGACATATAATGTTACAGTTATATGGACGATGTTAAAAGGTTTAGTTAAACTTCCTTTTGCTGGGAATTTTGATTACACAACCTCATCGTTTGGTCAACAAACATACTTGTTACAAGCAGCGTTCAGTGTTTGGTATAGACATCAGTTTATATATCTGGTGACTGTTATATAGTGCAATATATGCGTATTTATAAAATTTAATAATACCTTTACTGCAGTGTCGCCCGCGCCACCCTGGGGCACATTCACAAACTCCGGTCACGTGGTCACAACTGGCGTTATTTCTACATTCACACTGCTGTAAACAGCCAGGACCATATGTGCTGTTAGAACATTCTGAAAAGTGAAAATATCGAACATCATTGCATTGTTTAACAAATTTGTGTTTATTTTACCTCTATTTTAAGCAGTGTGCGCTCAAAATTACAATGGTGCATTTGTTAATGTAGTGTCGTACCTTTCATTACAACTGATTTAAGATTATATGTTTGATGAAAATCTTCAGATTCAATTTTTTGTTGTAAAAATTAAATAGACTGATGAATTCTTTAATAAAATTGAAATAATCTCATTTTCAAATAAAACATTAATTATTTATTTCCTTTAGTGGCTTATATGTTTGAAATTTTGGTAAATGAAACAATGGAGTACTTTGATCACATTTACGTCCCCTCCAACCTGGTGAACAGAGACAGTCGCCTGTTTTATGATCACACTCAGCACTGTTCTCACACTCACATGTCTCTATGCATGATGCTCCGTATTTACCTGCTGGACATGCTAAATTTAAATAAAGAAAATATGCATTGTTAATCCAGAATATATCACATAAATAGCATGTAGCACATCTTATAACTGAACATGAGCCCTATCATCGAGATTTATCACAAATCATATAAGTGCTACAATTATCGACAGTCTCTTATCTGATTATGTATAGGATAGATCATGAGTACCAGTTGGATGTGAGATTTATCAACGAGCGAAGCGAGTTGATAAATCTCACATCCAACTGGTACGAGCGATCTATCTGACTTAGACCACAGGTAGTTTTCTCTGTTTAAGGTGAAGATTAAACATGCGTAAACGATTTCTTCTCCGACTTATTACATAGGGATATCCAAATATTTCTTACTCAATCTATTTGGCCTTATTGTAGGCAATAAAATGCACGAGAAAACGGCATAATTCATGTTATTTCATGAATATAGTCACTGAATACACAATCTTATGAATGATAGATTTTACATTCCATTATAAATTTCTACTCAGAAGAAAATTGGGAAAAAATTTAACATTTCTGAATGTGATGACATTACAATTTCGCAACTTGGGAGATTTTGTTGTTATTCCTGTTCATTCCTAATTTAAATGATTTAATGACAGCACCGTACACAGCGCTTGAATAAGAAGTCTAGAAGCAAGACTGCTTTCCGAAAAATACTCTTAGAAAGAAATCATGGGCGATGGCTGCTTATCAAAAGTGGGCGTGTTGGAGAAACGGACAGGTAACTTTCATTGAACGTTTTCCTTAATGCTTAAACAATTCTATGAGACAGGATATTATTGGTTGTCCGGCTGAAGTTGAAAATATTTTACTTGACGTATAGATTTGTTTATTTATATACATCCTGCATTGACGTTTTTTTTACCTCATTCATGAACTAAAAAGTATAACAAACGTCCCTTTGAAGCCTTAAAGCATAGCATTTCCTTAGCGTTGCAACTGCAGCCCAGTAACCTTTCGGAAACTCCACCCCCTTCCCCACCAGTGGAATCCCCTCTTCCCAAACCAGTAAATGAATGTAAATCTACAATGTCTGCCGGGCATAATTTAGGATGAGATTATTGAAATATGTGCCTGCCAATATTACAGTAGCACAAAAGGGGTCGTTAAATTAAAATACATATATAGACTTAAGTAGTTTTTGATAAACGCATTTCATTTTATTATTGCTTGTTTTTTCTTATTTACAAATACAGTAACTATTGAAATGACGAAATAAATTGGTGAAAGGACTATTGCTATCTGTTAGGTGTTTTATTTGTTTGGGTCGTCAGACCAAACAAATAATGATAGCGAAATTTCAGACCCTGATGCTGTTAATTGCAAATGCCGAAAGTAGTCCGTTTTTTGAAGCGGTTAATTCCCTTTATATGTACACTAACGCCGAAAAATTCAGGGGAGATCACTGCGTATCGATGGTCAAATGACAGGCGCATTAATTTTCAAGCATAATAGTTCCCGGATGGTCGAATATTTCCTATATTGTTTAATTCTTCATAGATATACATGCTTATAGTAAGCTCCATGATTATTTACATCTGTGTTAAACAACAGTTAGCATCGAAATAAAAAGGGTTACAAACCCTAATTTAGAATAATATGGTTTTCTTCAGGCCGTTAACATATAACTTCACCGTGATCGAGGGGTTTGCGCGCTCCCTTAGGAAGCGAGAGGTCTGGAGTTCAAATCCCAATTAAGGCAACTCATTTTTTTTTCAAATTGTTTAAGTTAAATAAACATTGAATTGAATATCAGTGTTGCAATTAGTCTTATAGCCAATTTACTACAATTAAAACGCTGGAAGGCATTGGTGGCACTACACAAAAACAAATTGGTTGATTCAGCGCCTTCTGTTCTTTGATTTTAAAAGGGGCATTACACTATTTACTTTACCATATACATAAAACTTTTCCCCGCATAAAGCGTGCACATAACTGTTTTTTCCTTTCAGTTGAATACAAACATGATAGTTATATCAAACACTTTACTGTGATGTGTGGGATATATCAAACACTTTTAAACTTCTCTGATTGGCCGAGAGAAAACAGCTGTGGTCTAACTTACCTTTTTATATAATTATGACCACGTGACATGTAATCATCGTTTTGTTTATCTATATCCATGGCGATGTACCATGTTCAAGACTATAAATTTGACTGTGTGTAAAGAGATTCTCAAAGAGATTCTTTACAAACAAAAAGCGTTGACTGACTACACTGTATTTTCAGGCAATGCGCAGACTACATGCATTTTTATTCTTATTTTTTCTCACTTATCTCAACAAAAAAAGTGAAATGAATGATACCATGAGCTTAGCAGATTTCATACTAAAATGATAAAAACCGTAATGTAAGTTGAAAGTGTCATTGCTTTTGTAGTTATCAGTGAAATGTCATTAGCTGATTTATTATCACTCTATCTAAAACACATTAAAAGGGGGAAAACACATCAAAAGTAAAATAAAGTAGAAATAAGAATTTTAATACGAAATTATTCGAATATATACGAAATAAAATTGTTTTAACTTGTCCATACCTATTTCGGTAAACTACTAGAAAAAGGATGCTAAAAATGAATAAGTTATTGTAATTGTGTAAAGTAAAGTAATCAACAGGGTATATCACGCACCTGACTTTAATAGCTCTAAATGACAACTATAAATTAAAATAAGGTATAGGCGACGGATATTTAAGTTAAAATTAACATCTTAAATTGTGCACTGTGCACTGGTTGCCATTGAAATGACTGGCTGATATCAAAAGTCAATGGTTGCTATAGAAAGCCAAAGTTTTCTATGTGAATCAATAGTTGGTGAAGGGAAGTCAATTGTTGTTTTTTAAATCATTGTTTAGATCGAAAATCAATGGTTACAATAGAACTGCTTAATATGGGATGTCAATGGAAGGCAGTGGTTTCTAAAATGTCAATGATTACTTTGAACTTCCCTGGTTCATACAGAAAGTCAATTGTTGCTATGGAAATTACTTATTGTCATGAAAATTAATTGGGAAATCACTATCTGTTCAGGGAAGTCATTGGCTGACAACATTGCTATTATTTTATCAATCTTGGTAGCGGTCCACTAAACAAATTGCCAGATATCTAAAGCTTAGCCGTTGCACGTTAAGAGTAGGAAATGTTTTATTTTTTTCACTAGATTCATATAACGAGGCTAAAAATGTAAATTTAATTTTAAGTTTCTGTTCTTAGACTCAGATGTTTAACTTGCAGAATTATGACTCAAAAACAAGTTCTTTTTCAAACAATTTTAAATGAATCATTGGATAATTTCTGCTCACCAACGCTTGAAACTGTACTTAAACAGTGTAAACAGAACAATATTACATGAGAAGTTTTTGATCTGTACATGAGGGATAATGAAAAAGTGCAATTACACTATTCGTCGTATAACTTGAGGAGCGTTTGTAAAAAAAAGTTATTGTTTAGAAGGTCACATTTAAATTAAGATATGTTTTTTTGTTTTCTTCGATGTTATATCTTCATGCGTTACCTTCTTTAAATAAAGATATTATTATCATTATCATTATTATTATTATTATTATTATTATTATTATTATTATTATTATTAAACCAGCATATTCCCGAATGATTCCAACTAAAGCCATGCTGGTCATCAGGTTCAAAACGCGACGCATTTGAATAATTCACTTAAATTTGTCGGAAGATTTTGTATACGGAGTAAAACGGTGATAGTTGTTTATTTCGCATATTGTGTTGTTTATATCAAAGATGAAGTGAAAATTGGCCATATTCGTTGATAATAATATTTATTTTGCGTGGATGGACAAAATGATTATGTAAAAATATTGGAAATGGAATGAAATGCAAGGTGATGTACAAATTTTGCCTCGTTGAAGCGAGGGAAAAAAGACGCACGTGTTAGGCGTGCAACGAGTACTCGAACGCTGCGCATACAAAAATAATTCAAAGTTATACTAATCATTGCGGTGTAGCCTTATAGTATAATTGTAAAGTAATGATATTTTAATCGAGAAATATGCCATAAAGAACACAAAGCAACAATTATTTTTTAATTAACACGCGTAAATATCAGTCTACGGTGTTTGATCATTGAATATGAGTCTCAATCTATTTTTAGACTTGAAAAATCCAATTCAGCCAGTGAATATGATACTACACCCAGTGAATATGATTTTATAAAAAGTTCTGCTGACTACTGTTTGGACCAATGAGATTGCAGCTATATTTAGATCATATAATAATTCAATTTTAAGAGGTCTTTTGGTATTTGGTATTGAAAACTGATGGCTGAAGTGATTACAGATTTGAAACCTATGTAAATACTGATGGCTGAAAATAAAAAAAGGGCAATAACTGAAAAATAATTCAGGGTAGGTTATCATTCTTGTGTGCTGCACTCCTCCTCAATGAGATCTTTCCACCTATGAAGTTTCAAGTTGATACCTCTAACACTTTTTGAGATAAGCTCCGGACAAAAAGTATGAACAATAACAAAGAGCAATAACTAAAAAATTATGAAGGATAGAGGCACTGCACACCTCCTGAGTGAGATCTATCCACCTATTAAGTTTCATGTTTATATCTTATAAGCTTTTTGAGTTATGCTCTGGACAAACATTAAGTTTGAAAAATAACAAAGGGCAATAACTGAAAAATTATGCAGGGTAGAATTATCATTTTAGAGCACTGCACTACACTCCTCCTTAATATGATCTATCCACCTATGAAGTTTCAAGTTGAAATACTTTTTGAGATATGCTCCGGACAAAAATGTCAGACGGAAGGACGGACGGATGGACGGAAGGACGGAGACTATTACTATATCCCCGCCGCCTTTTCGGCGGGGGATAAAAAAAACCCACATAATTGAAATTTAGCAGGTGCTCATTGTGGAGATATTGGTTTTCTAAAATAAGCATGTTAAACATCTCAAACATCTTACAACCAAATGGAACAGGCCAACATCTGATTAAAGCATTGTCCGATGGTCATCAAATTATTCAAATTCAGTTAAGGTATAAAATGATTATTCTTCCAGTACAATTCATAGGAGAATGACGAAATATAGTTCCAAATATGGCTAAATTAGGTATACTGGATAAATCTATCTCTAAAAGTATCATGTAACCAGAGCAATCGCATCGCTCGTGATTTAATAATGAAAATGCGTCTTGTACGATCTCGTATTGATCTATAATATAAAGTGAGTATAGCTTTCTCCATATATCAATAGCTCGTGATCAGGGTTTATTTATTGTATAAGATATGTATAAGTCGCGGGGACTTCGATAACAATCTTTTATTATGATAATATATATCACTTTTTTCTTTCTTCTCATGAAGAACTATGTTTGTTGAAATTCACTGAGATGTAAAGATATTAAACTTCAATAAGTCCAAAACATTCAGAATGAGTCTCGTCAATTGGATTCATTGGAGGCGCAATCTTGATATTTGGAAGTTGAGGCTAACCAAGTAACTAGCAGCACGCCTCCAGATTCATGCTTATTTTCAAGAAACTTTTGAAAATGTTTATAAAAAGTAAAATATCTGAAGTGACCAAAGAAAATTACATATTGCAAACGGCACTTACAACCTATGTTAATTACTAAACACGAGGTCAAAATAAGTAAAAATAGCCCTTTACTGCAGTTTAACTAACGTCAAGTCATAGAAATGTTAATTGAAATAAAGTCACTAATTTGCGAAAAATCAGGTTCATTAATCTCAACACGAGCAATGCTTACTTAAACAGTGAAGATGAAATATGCAAAATCATTTATGTATCTTGAAATATCTTCTGTCCACTTTCCTTAAAAGCTCAGTTTGTTTTTCTAAAGTTTGATTTTCTTGAAATTTTTGGCACATCTGGAGGATTGCAGCTTTAAAAAAGCAAATATGTTAATCCCTGTCATATATTGTATTAATACTATAATTAGAGGTTAATACTTGGTTGCTGCTCGACATTATGCGATAATGGCCTGAAGATATGCATAATGGCCTGAGGGCCGCAGGCCCGAAGGGCATTATGAACTCGAGGTCCATTATCGCATAATGGCGAGCAGCAACCAAGTACTTTGTATTAACTCGGCCCTTTCCGTCAACTTTAAACATATCCGACTAAATGTCAACAGGTTGGTTTTTTTGTACTTTCGGTTTCTACAGCCATAATAATAAATATATAAATAATGTATTGTTTGCTTTTGTACCTATGAATTCACTTATTTTAGGTGGACTTTTACTACATATATTGGAAATAAACTTGTCAACAACTCCCTGCATCAAATTACTATTTGTTTACATGTTTAGTTTCTTAGCGTAGGTTAGACCGAAATACCGCATCCGTTCTGTGTATTCATACTATTGTGTTCGAGGTCCTTATCCGAAGATTGACGGAAAGGGCCGAGTAGTTGCGATTGGCATTTTGAGAGAGTACCTCCCGGATGCGAATGTGTGGTTTTTTGGAGCTAACCGGTAAATCAGCTTTTCAATTTAAAGGGTATGCAGAAGACTTAGAATAGTGAACAAGAGGACCATGATGGCCCTGAAATCGCTCACCTGTATATAGGCCCCTGGGCCAATGCCAATTTTAAACCAGGGACTTTTATTTGAACAAACTTGGTAGACAGCCATTAGAAGATGTTTCATGATAAATATATAAGCTTTAACTATTTGGGGTTTTTATGAGAAGATCTTTTTAAGGTTTTACTATATACATATAAGAAAAAACAATGACACCCCCTCCCCCGGGAGGAGCCAATTTTGACCCCAGGGCTTTTATTTAAACAAACTTGGTAGACTCTAACTAGAAAATATTTCATGCTTAGTATCTAAACTCTAGCTCCTTTGGTTTTTTAAAAAGAAGATTTTTACTCTCTACAAAATAATGAAAATCAATGACCCCCTGGGGCGGGGCCAATTTTTACTCCAGGGCTTTTATTTGAAGAAACTTGGTAGAAATTCACTAGAAGATGTTTCATGCTTAATATCTAAGCTCTAGCTATTTGGGGTTTTTAAAAGAAGATTTTTTAAGTTTTTACTATATACAAATAAGGAAAATCAATGACTCCCCCAGGGCGAGGCCAATTTTGATCCCAGGGCATTGATTTGAACAAACTTGGTAGACACCCACTAGAAGATATTTCATGCTTAATATTTAAGCTCTAGCTATTTGGGGTTTTTAAAAGATTTTTTTTAAAGTTTTTACTATATACAAGTAAGGAAAATCAATGACCATTCGGGGCGGGGCCAATTTTGACCCCAGGACATTTATTTGAACAAACTTGGTAGACACAGACTAGTTGATGTTTCATGCCAAATATTTAAGCTCTAGCTCTTGCGGTTTTCTAAAAGAAGATATTTTAAGTTTTTACTATATACAAAAAAGGAAAATCAATGACCCCCGGGGCGGGGCCAATTTTGATCCCAGGGCATTTATTTGAACAAACTTGGTAGACACTGACTAGGTGATGTTTCATGCCAAATATTTTAGCTCCAGCTCTTGCGGTTTTCTAAAAGAAGATATTTTAAGTTTTTTCTTTCGGTTGCCATGGCAACGAGAGTTCTGCTTGGAATTAAATTCTTTGATAAATTTTTAAAGTTGACTACTAAAGGAACATTCCTGTGAAGTTTGGATGAAATTGGCCTAGTGGTTTATGAGGAGATGTCGTTTAAAGTAAAAGTTTACGGACGGACGAAGGCCGGACGGCCGGACGAAAAGCGATCACAAAAGCTCACCATGTCACTTTGTGACAGGTGAGCTAAAAAAAGTAGGTGCATGACTCCCCGTTTGGATGTTATTTTCAGATTGTGCATTGTTTAAGAAGGAAAAACACTATAGCTTGTGATTTAATTTTTTGACGTTAATATAATTTTGTTGTTTTGCGAATTCACTCTTTTTATTGTTGATTTTCGCGACCAAAACATGTATGTGCCAGTAAACTAGAAGGTTGACATGAATTTTAATTGTTTGCTGTAAGATACATATGTGAAATGCATTTATTTCAGGTGTGAGATTACAGACTCGTGTGTTAGGTTTTGATGGTGGCGCAGTCAGTTGTTTGCCGAAAAACCTTGTCAACTGTGTATTGCCCCCGTATACAACGCAGGTATCAGCCTCCAAAATAACTACGGCAAGTCAAAAAATACGTGAAACAAAAAAAAAACAACAAAAAACGATAGAATATTGATATTCGTTGGACTTGAATTAGGTAAGCTGTGGAATTCTAGTTCTTTTAATGGATGTTAATGAATGATGCAGCGAAATGCCGCCGGAATTCGCCTCAGTAGCCGAAACGACGATTTCACGTGTTCCACATTGTTTTGCAAACGAACATATAGTAGGCTTTCCACCTTTCTATAACTATAATTTTGGAATTGGAAACTTTTTTTATAAAATTTTATCGGTGGTTTTGTATTTGGTAAATAGTACGCTTTGGAGTGTTGAATTATTTTTTTCAGGATTGTAGCAGGGGTCCAGGGGCAGGGTGGGGTGGGTGTCCAAACACTGATACTGCCACTTGTGGTGGCATGGCCACATTGATTTTAAAAATATACCGGTAAATGTTTATATCAATATAATTATGTGAATGTATGCGATGTTATTGAATAAGTTTACCTCTATCACAGAATTGTCCAACATATCCTAATGTGCACGTGCACTGACCATTCTGCGGATGACAATGAGCACCATTCTCGCATAAACATTGCTCCGAACAATCTTTGCCATAACTGCCTTGTGAACAAACTAAAATATAAGAAAATCGTATTTAAAATAGAAGAAAACAAACAGCCAAATAATAGCCCTTCGCATGACAGCCATATATTGACAACGCTATTACATGCATGATAAATGTAATCTGCACATGTATATTTAAGAAATAATCAAACACGCCGTTTATATGCCGGCCATATACCTGTAAAATCTTATAATGAATTTTATAAATTACAGCAAACATATTTTTAGTGAATGGTTATTAATTATCTTATGAACTCACACACGTACTATTAAATATTTTGTCATGCAATCAACCAATGAAAATATGACGTTACAAAAATGCATTTATAAAAATTCATATATATTATACATAACTTTGATAAATTAAATTTTATAAACTATCAAGTATGAATAATTTGTAAGAATTCAGGGAAAAATATTTCTACTGCTGTTATAATAAAACGTTCGTGTAAAAAAAACTGACAGAACAAAACTTTATTTCACATTGAACAGAAAGATATAGAATAAAAAAATTATCAATTCAAATTTTAAATATTCAAATCATACTCATATGCATACAAAATTTTAGCAAACAAAATTGTTGGTTATTTTAAAAGTTAAGGATAAGTAAATAATATCAAAATATTAACAAAGCAAATCTATATTTCTTTAAAGTTAGACATTATGCGATCAATAATATTTACCAACGCTTTGTTATTGTTTAGCAATATTGACCTGAAACAATTGTATATTAAATGACCTTTTGTCGGTAATTGTTGGATTCCGAAGTATATCACACGAATTTTAAAGTATGACATAACGGTATACATTGTTGAAGTATAACTTAAAATTACCGACACAACACTTGCCTATCTAGCCTTGGTGATAAGGAGTAAAGATTCTTAGTTTCAAAGTGAAGGTTTTAGTTCAGAATCTTAACGAAACATTTTTTATGTTGTTGTTGTTTTCTTTTAATTATATTTTGTGAAACTTAACTACATGTACTATTAAGTTTTTGTGCATGTCAATCAACACCAATTGAAAATATGAAACTTTACAAAAATACATTTATATAATTAACTTTACAAATATACATTAATATAATTAATTTTACAAATATACATTTATATAATTATCATATATCATAAGTTGTGATACTTTTTTAAGATATTAAAGAAATGATTCATCCATTACTGCTGCTTATAATAAAACAAGAAGTTTCTTTAAAAAAGATACTCGGCCGAACTAAAACTGGTTTATTTGCACATCGAAACATGGAAAAAGAATTATAAGAAATATGATATTGAGCTTATTATTGAATTTTACGTTTAAATTTTTGAAATATTAAAATCATATGCATATGTTTGCAAATACAAAGTATTTTAACAGAAACAAAATTTTAAGTCTGAAGTTAATCCTTTAAAAGTAAGGAAGAAGTAAATAAGAACCACAAACAAACAAAACAATTTATTTCGTACTCATTTTTTTAGTCTCAGTCATGTAATTCTTTAATTTCTATTATTGTGAATGTCGTTTTAGCTCAAAGAAAAACATTTAAGTTATTGAAGTTTGTTCCAATCGAAATTTTAATTGAAAGTTTACAAATGACAACGTTTTGTTGATACGAAATATCCGAATCAACAGATTTGCAACACATTTGGAAATAACGAAAGAAACCTTATATCCGAAAACAACCGAAGAGAGCCTTCTTATCTAAAATAATTTGGCAAACATTTATTATAAACCATTCAATCGTTAGCGGTTAAATAAATACCTCATAAATATATAATAAATTATATAAAATACATGAAAATTATAAACTTTGTATATAACTGATAATACCAGATAAATTCATTTTTTGTGTGTACTTTTCACTTTTTTCATGCGAAAGTGGTGGTTTTCGCTAATGTGTGACAAAATCCATAACTCGTGAAAACAGCGTAAAATAATCTGTAGAATACATGGAAATATAGGCATGGTTAAACAGAACTTAAGTATCTGAAATTTAAAGTTGTACTTAGGTCATACTTCAGTAAAATCTTTTAATCCCAGAAATTTATTGAAACCAATGAACTATTTATTGAATATGTCTTATTTGAATAAAAGAATTATTAAACTATGTATGAGAAGCTGCATTCCCTATTACGGGACAAGTAAAGTTGGTCCTTTCTTTAACAAACTGCCAGTTTTTTAATGACACTATATATTAATCTTGTGACCACCTATAGTGTATAGAACTTTAAAGATGACATATCTACTTTGTATCAAGTCAAAACGTGTTTATTTTATATATACAAAGATACTTTGTAGCAATTATAAAAAATTGATATAAAATTTGAGCATAGTATATGTTTAAATTGATAGTAAAAAACTTATGAATGTAGATGTTTCCAGAGTCCTTAAGATCAATCAAAAATTTGACGCGTGTATCTATATGTTACAAAATGAGTCGGTTAAAGTGACCTCTCCTGATAACACTGCAAATGGCGTAAGAGTTCAAAAGGAAGGTGACTGTTGCGTAAGGGTTTAAAAGGGAGGTTACTGTTGCGCTCAAAATAAAGTCAGTTACAGTGACTTCCCATGATATTATTGCAAATGGGAAAAGGTTCCTGTTGCGCTACAAATCGAGTCGGTTAGAATGACTTCCCTTGATAACATTGCAAACTGGAAAGAGTTCCACAAGGAGGTGACTCCTGCGCTACAAATCGAGTCAGTTAGAGTAACCTCTCCTGTTAACATTGCAAATGGCGTAAGGGTTCAAAAGGGAGGAAACTGTTGTGTTTATTTAAAAAAGAGTCGGTTTGAATGACCTGCCCTAAAAACATTGCAAATGGCGTAAGGGTTCAATGGGAAGTAACTGTTGCTCTCCAAAAAAGAGTTGATTACAGTGATCTCTCCTGATAACATTGCAAATGTCGTAAGGAGTTTAAGGGAGGTAACTGTTGCGCTCCAGAAAGAGTTGATTAGACTGACCTCCCCTGATAACATTACAAATGGCGTAAGGGTTTAAAGAGAGGTAATAGTTGCTCTCAAAAAAGAGCCAGTAAGAGTGACATCCCCTTAAAATTTTGCAAATGGCGTAAGGATTCAAAGGGAGGTTAATGTTGCGCTAAAAATAGTTATTTAGAGTGACCTCCCCTGAAAACATTGCAAATGGCATAAGAGTTCAACAGGGAGTTGACTGTTGCGCTATAAAAGATTCCGTTAGAGTGACCTATCCTGATAACATTGCAAATGGTAAAAGGGTTCCAAAGGGAGGTTACTTTTGCGCTACAAAAATAGAGTCGATAAGAGTGACCTCCCTTGATAACATTGCAAATGGCGTAAGGGTTCAACAGAACTTTGCATGATTGCATGTAAGAAGTTTAAAAAACTTTCTTATTCTGTATTCAGTCATCTGAAGCAACTCCTAATAATATTTTATTTCTCCTAATTATGATTTTAAACCCAAACGCCTTATTTAACGTTGTCATTATATTAAAGATTTTTGACCATGCGACCACATACATGCATCGAGGACAAGTTTGAAGGAAAGTGACCGTGCGACCACATACACGCATCACAGGATTCCCCTTCTCATACGAGAAAGGGACAAAAAGATTTCCGCCCTTTTATTAAGAGCAGACTAAAAAATGCCTTTGCCTTATGTTATTGATAAGGAGGCTTATTTTCAAAAATGTATTGAATTGGGTTATATACAATATTAATAACGCAAACCAAGCGGGTTATCAGTTAATGTCTTTTTAAGTCCGCTATGAAATTTTAAAAAGATGATATATAACTTCTTGGAAAATTTTGAGTTTAAAATTTTTTCTACTTCTCATTTTATGTATATAACAGAATTATTTTAATTTTGCAAAACATAAACGTTTCAAAAACGTTTTATATGCGTTAAATATTGGAGATATATTTCACACGTTGTTTTCACATATTAACCTGGGGGCTTTTTTGCCGAAGTACTGTCCAAGGACGATAACTTGAGCCTACATAAAAATTAAATCAGTGCGAAAAAATAAGTAAAACAGACGGAAGCCTAATAAATGAAACACAAAGTAAAACGTCATATTTTAATGTGCCTTGATAGGACAGTAGGCAAAGCGTCCGTGTTAGTGGTTTTTTCCAATGCATTTAGATGCTCGTATCATAGTAAGGTACCATTACATTTGAGTGTTTTATGTATCTTTTTCTTATTTGACCAGTTTTGGTTCAAATAATTACAAATGCATGAGAAAGAATATTTTTGTGCACATGTTAAGTTGTGTTAAGTTTGGTGGAAACGTCAAACATCAGAAACAAGAAAATAAATAGATTAAACTTGAGCAGCACGCAAACATGACACTGGTAAGACTACATACATGTATTTGCAAGTCTTATCATAGCTGCTGAATTTGATCGTTGCAAAAGTATGAAGTGGGCCAAAAAGTTGCGATCATGCAGTCACGCACACCTTCGTCCGTGTGACGTCATTTAACGATCATCTCTCAAAAGAGATACCTTATTTCAAGCTACATCTACCCTTCTTACCGTAATCTAACGCAAAACATATACAATGCATACGTAGAGACTTTTTTTCTTTTATTTCCCTTTCTTTTTTGAAATTCGTTTTTTTTTCTTCAGAAAAGAGCTGTAGATATCCTGGTGATAAGATTTAATACAGTCATACAAGACTTTCTAGATCTAGTTCAACCACAAAGATCTAGGCCGTTATACCTAAATTGACATTACCCACGGTGCATATTCATATCGGTACCCTCTTTGCGAAATCTGCTGAAACGGTACCCTCTTTGCACATGCACAGGTCATTCTCTGCTTAAAACAAACCAGCGATGGATAACACGCCAGTAAAAATTCACTGTAATAAGGAAAGGAGGTATGACACGTGGAAAAGATGTATACCACGGAACACTAGAATGTTTTATCTATGTGCTGATTTGTCATGTGCCCGTTTTTCATGTACTGCAACTTCCCAGTAAGCTACAAAAAATCAACATGTCTTGCCTCGCCCATCACCTCGACATATTTTTCGGGCT